TTTTGTTTATAGAGAGTCCGCACTTGTTGTGCGCGTTTGTTGTATTTAGCTCGTTTACGCAGTGTGCGTAATTTTCTCGTGCCTCCGGCTCTGTTTTGTAGCCGTGTCATTTTTGTCTTGACTAAAGACTTTTGGACTAAGACTCTGTGTCCTGCGATTGATTCCTACACCACATCCACGCCATCTGACAATATCTCACCTGATTTGTGGCATTTTTATTCCTCTTGAACTCATCTCTCCCCAATCCCTTAGGTATTTTCGGTCTCCTTCGTCTGGCACTTGTGTTATGGTCCGCATCATGTTTCTGTACAGGCCCAACACCTTCTGCCTCTGTAAAAACTGTAGAAAGAGAAGAAGCACTCAAACACGGCAGGTAGCTTAGTGGTTAAGAGCATTGTGCCAGTAACCGAAAGGTCGCTGGTTCTAATCCCCGAGCCGACTAGGTGAAAAATCTGTCGATGTGCCCTTGAGCAAGGCACTTAACCCGAATTGCTCCTGTAAGTCACTCTCTGGATAAGAGCGTCGACTAAAATGTAACGTAAAATGTAAACACAAGTTACAGTAGAGGTAGCTGTGTGGCTAGAGCAGTGGAAGCAAACAAGCAAGTTACCTGGCTAATTTATCAACAATCATATTGGTATTAGCAGATCAATATGCTGATGAAGACAATTACGTTTCTGGGTAGCAATTAAGTGCCTTACTGTAATAGATTTCCATTCAAATGGGCAAAAATAACTTTTTAGTAAATAAAATTTTTTCTCATGCACGACTTTTGTTAGGACTCTCTGGGAGTGGTCTGAGTGGGGTGGGGAAAACTGAAAACGAGCTGTTATTTGCAGAAAATAACTATCAGGAAATAACACTGATCACTGCTTAAATGTTAAAGGTCCCGAACAGTCATTCTGATTCCATTGTAAAAAAGCCTTTTGAGTGACTAAACTATCACCCATAATATTTTGGGGGGATAGAAATGCTATTATAATTTATTCTCTCATGGCTACCAGGAAGTTTGAAAAGACAGGTGTGGGCGCTGAGCTTATATTCACGAGCTCGCCTTGATTGACAGCTCTTTGAAACTCCTATGTCAAGAAACTTGGATGCAGTGAGCAGTGTTTCAGTAAAATCATCTCAAGCAAACTTGGTGATACACAAAGCAATTCAAACAACATTGAAATTGCATCAATGATGTCAATGTTTTTGTCTCTCTCCCGTTTTGCATGTCTCTTGTGATGTGGTTCATAACAACTGTGTCAGTTTTGTTCCATGCTGGCTGAAGACCTAGCTAGCCAGTAACTAGATAACACCAGACACAGATGAAAGCGGAAATATATACGTATCTTTGCCATAGATGAATAGTGTAAACTTTTAATTATATTTGCTGACAAACACCCTACAATCAAATTTTGGCCACCAGTAGAGTACAGTCGTGGTCAAAAGTTTTGAGAATGACACAAATACTAATTTTCACAAAGTCTGCTGCCTCAGTTTTGATGATGGCAATTTGCATATACTCTAGATAGAATGTCATGAAGAGTGATCAGATGAATTGCAATTAATTGCAATGTCCCTCTTTGCCATGAAAATGAACTTAATCCCCCAAAAACATTTCCACTGCATTTCAGCCCTGCCACAAAAGGACCAGCTGCCATCATGTCAGTGATTCTCTCGTTAACACAGGTGAGAGTGTTGACAAGGACAAGGCTGGAGATCACTCTGTCATGCTGATTGAGTTAGAATAACAGACTGGAAGCTTTAAAATGAGGGTGGTGCTTGAAATCATTGTTCTTCCTCTGTTAACCATGGTTACCTGCAAGGAAACACGTGCCGTCATCATTGCTTTGCACAAAAAGGGCTTCACAGGCAAGGATATTGTTGCTAGTAAGATTGCACCTAAATCAACCATTTATCGGATCATCAAGAACTTCATGGAGAGAGGTTCAATTGTTGTGAAGAAGGCGTCAGGGCGCCCAAGAAAGTCCAGCAAGCGCCTGGACCGTCTCCTAAAGTTGATTCAGCGGCTGGATCGGGGCACCACCAGTGCAGAGCTTGCTCAGGAATGGCAGCAGGCAGGTGTGAGTGCATCTGCATGCACAGTGAGGCGAAGACTTTTGGAGGATGGCCTGGTGTCAAGAAGGGCAGCAAATAAGCCACTTCTCTCCAGGAAAAACATCATGGACAGACTGATATTCTGCAAAAGGTACAGGGATTGGACTGCTGAGGACTGGGGTAAAGTCATTTTCTCTGATGAATCCCCTTTCCGATTGTTTGGGGCATCCGGAAAGCGCTACCATCAGTCCTGTGTCATGCCAACAGTAAAGCATCCTGAGACCATTCATGTGTGGGGTTGCTTCTCAGCCAAGAGAGTGGGCTCCCTCACATTTTTGCCTAAGAACACAGCCATGAATAAAGAATGGTACCAACACATCTTCCTTAGAGCAACTTCTCCCAACTGTCCAAGAACAGTTTGGTGACGACCAATGCCTTTTCCAGCATGATGGAGTATCTTGCCATAAGGCAAAAGTGATAACTAAGTGGCTCGGGGAACAAAAAATCGACATTTTGGGTCCATGGCCAGGCAACTCCCCAGACCTAAATCCCATTGAGAACTTGTGGTCGAAACCCCACAAATTCTGACAAACTCCAAGCATTGATAATGCAAGAATGGGCTGCCATCAGTCGGGATGTGGCCCAGAAGTTAATTGACAGCATGCCAGGGCGGATTGCAGAGGTCTTGAAAAAGAAGGGTCAACACTGCAAATATTGACTCTTTGCATAAACTTAATGTAATTGTCAATAAAAGCCTTTTACACTTTTGGAATGCTTGTAATTATACTTCAGTATACCATAGTAACATCTGACAAAAATATCTCATAACACTGAAGCAGCGAACTTTGTGAAGAACAATACTTGTGTCATTCTCAAAACCTTTGACCACGACTGTAGCTATCTAGCTAGCTATACTGAGCTAAAATATAAACGCAACATGTCAAGTGTTGGTCCCGTTTTTCATGAGCTGAAATAAAAGATTCCAGAAATGTTCCATATGCACAAAAAGCTTATTTCTCTCAAATGTTTTGCACACATTTGTTTACATCCCTGTTAGTGAGCATTTCACCTTTGCCAAGATAATCCATCCACCTGACAGGTGTGGCATATCAAGAAACTGATTAAACAGCATGATCATTACCCAGGTGCACCTTGTGCTGGGGACAATAAAAGGACACTCTAAAATGTGCAGTTTTGTCACACAACACAATGCCACAGATGTCTCAAGTTGAGGGAACGTGCAATTGGCATGCTGTCTGCAGCAATGTCCAACAGAGCTGTTGCCATTGAATTTAATGTTAATTTCTCTAGCATAAACTGCCAACAACGTCGCTATAGAGAATTTGGCAGTACATCCAACCAGCCTCACAACCGCAGACCACGTGTAACCACGCCAGCCCAGGACCTCTTCTTCACCTGCCGGATCGTCTGAGGTAGTATTTCTGTCTGTAATAAAGCCCTTTTGTGGGTTAAAACTCATTCTGATTGGCTGGGCCTGGCTCATGTGAAGTCCATAGATTAGGGCCTAATTCATTCATTTCAATTGACTGATTCCCTTCTATGAACTGTAACTCAGTAAAATCTTTTAAATTGTTGCATGTTGCGTTTATATTTTTGTTCAGTATATATAAACCATGCCCCTCTGCAAACACAACATGCCTTCTCCAATGTTGGTTATAAGACAGTACTTATTTAAATTAGGTAAGAGAATATCACGTTACCATTGGTGAATTAAAATGAGTTAGGGTGATGCCTTAATAATCCTGCTGTATCCAAGTGTTTGACATGGGGGAGGGGACCAGTAACTTTATGATAAAACTTTATCGATGTAGAAGCAACAGACATTTATCATTATTTGGTCATCATCATACTTTAATCTGGTTTAATCCAAATATTACCCAATTTCATGAAAAACATGATTTTGACTGTTCATGACATTTAATGTTAGCTAGCTATCTCATGCTGCCATGGTTATTTCCCAAGGTAAGCATGATATCTAGTTGGCACTACACTAACCCCATGGTTTACTGCTCATAATACCGACATATACTTGTATTACCGGTTTTAATGTAAATGCTGCCGCAGGTAACGTTGAGCTAGCCATGATGTTGACTGTAGCATACATGGTTGTAGAGGCAGCTCTACAGCTGATCCACTGTCTGGTCGATCTTTGTTCAACATTGATGATCAACAAGATCAATGTCGCCCTCTTGTGGGGTGGAGTACTTATGGAAAATCCTAATTTCTTTAGGGGCCATAAACTAAAGATCCCAAATACATCATAAAACAATGTGCTCAAAACAGTTTATAAAGTTTATTAACCCTAACCATATCATCATACAATGTATCATGTCATATGTGATTGATAGATGGTATGAACAACTTCCATGAATATAATTTGTTTGCTTATAGTTATTTCCACATTACAAAACACCTTGGCGATAAACATTTCAATGCACAATCATCAACCACTGTTTTCCTAATGCCACAGCAATGGCATTTTCTAATGATGTCTTTGTGTCAGTGAATGAACCTTATCTACAGTACAGTCTAGGTGTAAAACAGATGTAGTTGTGATATGTCTCTTAGGCTGCATTTAGACAGGTAGCACAATTCTGATATTTTTTCCAAATTGGTCTTTTGACCAATCACATCACATCTTTTGACATCAGATATTTTTCAGAGCTGATCTGATTGGTCAAAAGATCAGAATTCGGCTGCCTGTCTAAACATAGCCTAAGACCAGAGAAATGGAACCAATTGGAGCATTTATCAAAATTGTTATTAGCAGTCCTTGTGCTTCAAAGTGCATAAGAACTGAATTTTCCAAAAACATTGACCTAGTTTTTGAGAGAGAGAGAAAAAGAGAAACAGAAGCAGAATTATAATTTCCAAGTAAACAATGGATGAATTGTTTTAAGCACATAGTGTAAAGTGAGATGCAGAAAAAAAATTCAAGGCACAATTCTGGGATTACTTTTTAAATGGATCAAGCACATATCAGCATGCTTTTCTTTTGCCATGATATGTTTTACAAAACATCACAACACTGTCAGCTCCATACATTATCAGTTGATGTGTTTACATGAAAGCAGAATGACTTGATGAGCATGTTACACTGAAAACATCCATACAACATGAAGGGGGGTATAGTACACAGGGAAAGAGGTATCTCTTGTTCACACGGAAGGGAATCACATTTTGTTCGTTTTCTAACATTTGTTATAGACGTGCAAGATAAAGCAATGCTTATTACATTAGGAAAGAACTTCCAGAATCCCCCTGGCCTGAAGACAAGGACTAAACAGCAGAGGTCGCTATCAAACTCTACAGTCTACTAAAATTAGAGGAAAAACAAGAAAAAAGGCACATATACAGTGGCAAGTCCGTCTTTCTCTGTGAGTCCTGTTTTTGAGTCTGTGTGTTGTTGAGAGGCTAGCAGCAGAGTGGGTTGTGCGGTTGGTTGCTGCCCTCTGAGATGGTTTCTTCTCATTGGCCTACTGGTCGGTTGCCGTGACGAGTTCGAACCACTGCCTCAGTGCGTCGCTCAGGGTCTCTGGCAAGGCGTTGACGTCCCTCAAGATCACATAGAAGGGGAAGGGAAACTCCTCCATGTAGGAGCGGATCTCAGGCATCTCTCCTGGACCTTTGAAGATTGGCACCTTGATGTCCAGGATGGAGTCCTGTAGAAAAATGACAGAAGAAATGTCAAAAGGAATATTGTGGAATATTTCCAGGATATTTCAATATGAATATCATATCTCATAGTGATTTGATCATCCACAGAAACACATGCACTAAGAAAAGGAGAACAATTATATTGGACTATATCATGTACATTACAGTAGAACTTTGCATTTACTATCCACAGTCCTAACTTGGATGGATTCCATCTAAACCCTTTACCCTGGAGTTGGGGTTGTCAAGCACCACGAAGATGACGAAGACGTTGGCGCTGCGAGCCGCCTGCACGGCAGCCGTCACCCTCTCCTTCCCCTCCAGGAAGAGCCCCCTGCCGTCCGATACGATGAGCAGCAGCTGGGCCGTCTCTGTTGGGGGGGGGGGGGGGGGGGGGGGAGGCAGGGAGAGGAAGAGGGAGGGAGGGCGAGAGAGATGGGAGAGGGAGATGGGAGGGAGAAAGAGAGAGCACAGGACGAGAGGGAGGTAGTCAGTTTCCACTGGCACCACAATGGCCCTGGGTGTCTGCTTACAGGTTCCAGTCCTCTGGGCTGCAGAGGGAGAGCAGTGAGAGCTCTGATACCAGCTCTGCACTGTGATCCTCACCGCGGCTCCACAGAGGATATGTTAGCTTCACCAGGGGCACTGTAGCAGGAACAATACTCTGCCTTTGACTAACAGAACTGGGGCTCTGCTCCCAACCCACCCAGTGCTCCACTCAGGGCTTGTTTGTTGGACATCAGATACTACCAGGGCATGGACCCCATAGGCTCAGAGGACGATATAATCAGCTGACATTCTTGAATATGTCTCAACTCATTACTGTAAGGAATAGAGGCATCTAAAATGACCTGAATACATTAGCAAATGAAGAAGGGACAAGGGGAGGACATTCTCGCTTATAGTAAACATTCTTATTGTGTAGTAGGGAAGATGCTGCACCACCCTGTACAGTACCTGTGTTCATGGATCCAAGGCTATGCTGCTTGGCTGCTACAAACATGTTGGCTGAGGTCTCCAGGAACTAAAGGATACATGAGCACAATGTGGGTGTCAGTCTCAGAAGAAAAAAAATCTGTCTCAAAGGGTATTTTGGGGGAAGATCTGTTGAACAATATCACAGTAATGAAAGGGGTTCAAATCATCAAAACTAAAAAGAGTGTAAAAATGAAGGAAGAAGGAAAGGTATTCCCACCTGGGCTATCCTGGTCTTTTTCTGCTGGAACTGACAGAGCCTCAGTATCCTAGCACCTGAATGATCGTTAAACTGTTGTTGGAACGGGTGGAGCAGCTGCACTGTCTCTCCAAAGCTGAGGGGGAAAACCAAAACATTTCACACATCATGTTGTTATCTCACTGTCCGGGGAAGAGAAACACCTGGACATCAATATTCATTTATTTTAAGTGACTGCTCCTCTCACCTGCACACAGACACCTGCCCCACCTCCAGGAGAGTGAGAGCGTTGACGATCACAGACAGGGATTCAAAGGCCAGCTATGAGGCACAGGAGACAGAGGTGAGACATTAATGAGACATTGTGTGTTACCCTTATGACACCCTATTCCCTATATAGAGCACTACTTTTGACCAGAGACCTCTGAGCCCTGGTCAAAACTAGTGCACTATAAAGGGAATAGCGTGCCATTCGGGACTCATACACTGTTCCTGCAACACTGATTGCAAGGTTGTCTCCACTCATCCCTCCGTGAAGCGACCTACCTGTTTGGAGTGGTTGTCCACCATGCTGGAGGAGTCGTCAACGGCCAGACAGATCTGATACTCTCTCTTGCTGGGCTTGGTCCGCCTCAGCCAGATCTTGTCTTTACGGAACTGACTGGCGATGTAGGGGATCACCTTCCGCATGTTCAGACGCTTTCCCGTGCGGAAGTCTCCTCTGTGACACAGAGAGAAAACAGAATAAGAGATGAGCTAATATTTGTTGTGAAATTAAAAAGAAAGATCTTTAAAATGAAAAATAAATTCATTAATAGAAAAGGTTACAAAAGCCTGTTCCTGCTCTGGTCTGAGTTTTGTCTGATGGCTGACCAATGCTCCATGAATGATCTTTTAGGGGTTGCGGTAGGTACTCACTTGAGCTTGGCTGCCTGCGTGGGCTCTAGGATGAGGCGGAGCTGCTCACACAGCTGCTGGGACAGGGCCGAAGTCAACGTCTGGTACTGGTGCCACATGGCTGCCGCTGCACTCTCCTATAGGGAAAGATTTATTTTTTACTTTTATTTAACTAGGCAAGTCAGTTAAGAACAAATTCTTATTTACAATGATGGCCTACACCGGCCAAACCCGGACAACGCTGGGCCAAATTGTGCACCGCCCTATGGGACTCCCAATCACGGCTGGTTGTGATACAGCCTGGAATCGAACCAGGGGGTCTGTAGTGACGCCTCAAGCACTGAGATGCAGTGCCTTAGACCGCTGCACCACTCGGGAGCAGCGGTCTAAGATAATAGCAGGAGTTACACATATAGATCTGAACTTCTAAAGGTAGGTAATGGGAATAGAGTATGACAGGGTAAATAGTGTCCGGTATTATTAATGTATTAGCAGGACATCCAAAGTGTTGGTACCTCCTCCTGATCTCCAGGGGCCTGTTTCATCCAGGCCTCCAGCTGCAGCTCCATCTCCCTCCTCAGCTCCTCTGGGTCGCGGACTGGGTTCTGGACGGACACACACATTCAGCTAATCTTATACAGATTCTACAGTGCTTTCTGACTGTTTTTTTTTTCTTTAATACTAGAGCCCTAAGCAGGTCTTTGATCAGATCTCTGGTACCTGCAGTGTGTCCATTAGCAGCTCTGGGACAGTGTGGATGGTAGACTCTGTGCTCCTCTCTGGGCGCTCCTCGTCACTGTGACCCTGTCTGTCCTTTGGCCTCTCCTCGTCTTCCTCACGCTGCCTCAGAGCCTCCAGCTCTCCACTCTCCAGACCTAACGGGGGAAATGACACAGTAAGACACAAAAAAAAACAGGCAAACACACAAACACAGACACACACACAGGTGTAAGTGAGATGAGGAGATGGATAGAGCACCTTTCTGTGACGCTCTGGTCGAGTCCAGCTGCTCTGGCTTCAACTCCTGGGCTTCAACAGCCTGCAGGTTCTCTTCCTGCTCCTCTGTATCCATTGCAATGTCCTCATCCTCTTGGTCCTCCTCTTGTGGGGCTCCGTCTGGTTTCTGCTGGTCTGCACTGGCAACATCTGTCAACAGCAGAGACAAGAGGCTCAGTGAAAGGGCACTTATAAGAGCTTAGAAGGAAGGCTTCTTATCTTGGACTATTATCTTCTTAGGGGGATGAACTGGTGTGGCATATCTGCTCTGTGGTGTGATTGGTGCCTGACCGTATGTCTGTGTGTCGTAGGCCGTCTCTCCCTGTTTGATGTGCTCGTACAGGTCTGACTCCAGCTGGGCCTGAGTCTGGTTGTTCTCCAGTGTCTTCTCCGTAGTGCTCTCCACCGTGCGCAGACGCTTGTTGATGCGCTCGTTGTAGTCGCCCGTCGAACGCTCATTGTCAGCCTGCCCCGGCTTCCTTTTGAAGCTCTGGAACAGCCAGGTCAGAATAACAACAAATTTTGAAATATATAGCTCATCTTAAAACAAACATTGGATTCACTAGAAAACATCAACTCAAAAACACACTGTAGAGATTTTGTAGACCAGACGTACCTGTGTCTTGCTCTGGCTTGGTTTCTGAGAGGACATCCTTGCCATTAGTTTGGACTCGTGTCCCTCCGACTGGCTGGCATCAGCCGCTCCACTACCATGCTCCTGGACAACAAACAATACAAGAGGGTCAATGTGTGCCTGCCAAATAACACATTTACATTGGCTGTAAATGGGTGGGGTGTGTGTTTCTACCTCTTTAGCTTGGTCTCTCTCGGATGCTTCCCCTGCCAGCTCCACAGCGGTCTCACTCTGGACGTTCTCCTCTCCTGTCTGACCGTCGGTGTTGTGCTCCTTCCTCTCTGCCGATTCTGGCTGCTCCTCATCCCCACCCTCCTCTTCCTCCTCCTGTGGGCAATGAAGAAGAAAGGTGTTAAACACTCAACTAGCAAAGCAATCTGTTCTAGGTACATATGGGATAGGTACTTTTCACAGTGGGAGGCCGTTCCTTCTCTTGCTAGAACAAAAGCAGTACCTGCAGCATGCCAAACCGGTAGCGACGAACCTACCAATTCTACTTGTAGAATCGCAATGCTCGTCAGTGGCCAACAACTTGACTTTGAGACAATCAGAGAGCAAGAGGCAACACAAAAAAGTGTTGAGCCAGTCACACTTCACATGCAATGTCGGCTATGGGATGGTAGCTAGCTAAGTGCACAGACACAATGCACTCAACACTAAATACTTCCTCCAAGCTAGCTAACCAGCTAGTATCCTCCTCGTTTCTACATTTGGCTATGGGCTGGCACTGACAGTATGGGATTATGGAGAGTGACTTAAATTGGTTCTTCGTCATCTTGCTAAGTAGTTATCTAGCAAGTATCAACAAGGGTTTTCCACAAAATAGCAACATTAGCGCAGATTCTTGAAATCTAGACCATAAGCAACACGCACAGATATGCATTGCCAAACAACGCAACTGCCACCTTTTGGTTTGGAGTATTTTAACAAGGCTGAGTGGCTGACGACGTCCAAGGTCTTTGTTGTGTGAACACAAAAAAGATTGACTGTCGAAACTCTGTTCAGAGGGGCTAAGTACTGTCGGCAGGCAAACGTTTGACAATCCTACCAGTGTGTCTAAGCTTTAAAGTGAAACAAAAAACGATATTTTGGTATTTTTCTTTCAATAGACCCAAAATGATTTGCATGTCACCAGTCAAGTTTTCAAGATATTGGACTTTCAAGAAGCAAAATGTCACCGGTCATATCATCATGATGATGCAAAATGCAAGAGGAGAGAAGTCAAACTACCTTTGGTTTCTGGCCTTCGTTTGCAGGGGTGGCCACGCCCTCCTCTTTCCCTGCCTCTTGTTCCTTGTCCTCATCATCCTCTTTCTCTGCCTCCTCTTTGACCTCCTCTGTTTGTTCTCCTCCTCCTCCTCCCTCTTCCTCCTCAGTCTTGGGTTCCTGGTCTTCTTCCTCTCCTTGTTTGTCTGTCTGATCCTCAGCCATCTCCTCCGCTCCTCCCTCCTCCTCTCCCTCTTTCTCTGCTTCCTCCTTCTCATCCAGCTCCATTGGCTTCTCGTCAATGTCGAACGGGTTTTCCTCTGGTGGAGAAAGAAACTCAATTGTCACACACTGGTTCTCTGGTGTCTCCACCGGTTCCTCTACACCCTTTTCTTTAATAGTTTATTTTATTCAGCAACAAGATAACAGGACAAAAGGACACATTAGAATCCTCTTCCAGATATACAATTGACCCCCAATGACCCCAGAGGCCTCACCGTCTCCCTCTCCCTCCCCCTCGTCCCCGGCCTGGTCCTCCTCCTGGTCCAGGTTGAGTTCATCAGGCAGGTCCATGGCCTCCGGGTCAGGCTTCTTCTCCTGCTTCCCGTGGTACGGGTCCACCTCGTTCTCATCAAACTCCCGCTGGAACACAGATACTCAATCAGACACTATCTAGCACTCCTGCTAAAACACACCCAACTACAGCCTGAGATGTGTTAAGTCAAATTCAGTGCAGAAAAAAAGCTCCTTGCAAAACCAGGGATAATCTGTGTGATGCAACATTGATACGCTCAGTAAAGTATATATATACACACATATTTTCAGTGAAAGCTTACCTCGTCCCCTTGTTCGTGGATCTTCTCCTTTTCCTCCTCGTCCAACTCTTGGTCTTTGTCATCTTTGTTCTTGTTGTCTTTGTTGGGGTCTGCTGCATCCAGGTTGTCATCCTTGGCTACCAGTTCTGACTCCCCCTGAAGAAACCACAAAAGAGCATCATTAGTGAACAACAAATACAGTATCTGCTGACTGGGTTCTACTCCAAACATCTTTATTTGCGAGCAGCAGATACTGCCCTTTCTGTCAGACATTTCAACCCTCTTTTATCGGATCCTTCCTCTCCGTACCTGGTCCATTCCTTGGCCTGACTCCTCCTCCTTGTCACTGCCCTCCTCCTCTTCATCATCCTCATCATCATCACCCCACATCCTCTCATCCAGCGTGTCTGTCTGGCCTTCACCCAGGTCGCCCATCTTCTTATCTAGATCTTCATCCTCCTCTTTGTCAGACTCCTCCTCGTCATCCTCACCTGAAAAGGCACAACCAATAGCGCTTTGAGATGTGAGACCAGGGTCGGGTTCATTAGGGCATGCAATGGAAAACTGTTTAAAACGTTTTGCAACAGACAATGAAAATGAGTGTTTATGAAAATGAGTGTTTCTTATTGGACGAATTCCAGGTAGTCCCTCCCTGTTTGTCTATTTTCTTCTGTTTGGTGCCTAATGAACATGACCCAGGAGTGCGATCAGACTCCCATGAGGCTGTGTGTTAAGAGCTCTGTCCACCCACCTGGCTCTTGCTGGTCTCCATCATGCATCTGGCCGTCAAAGTCCTCGGACATCTCGATGGCGTTGTCCTCCTCGTCAATGTTCTTCTTGTCAGGCTCCTCCTCTTTCTTCTCCTGGCCTTCCTGGAACGTGTCCTCCACCTACGACAGAAACGGTAACATTTTTGCAAAACGTTATAACTTTAACTCTCACTGAGTCAAATGTTTACTTAGTTATGCATTGATGTCAGTAGGAGACCAAGTGAAAATTCAACTGAAGTGGAAGTTAGGATTCACCCCTTCATGAGCAATGCCACTCCAAAAAACATAGATCTTATAGTGTTTGCACTGTATTGCAATTCTCGTAGGAAGCATCACCTGTTCTTCGTTCTCGATCTTGTCGCTGACGTCTTTGGTGCCCTCTCCCTCTCCGATGCCACCGCCCTCGTAGTCGTGGAACTCTGTGGCCCCCTCTCCGTCCCCTCCCTCCATTAACTCCTGGGGGAGGCAGAAGCCCTGCAGGACAAGACAATAAGACAATCAGCAAGAATGAAAGTGGCTGTACTGTAGCACCACTGCAGCTTAGGTGACTTACCCAAACAGTAAAAATAAAGAGCTACTGAAACTACAGGTTGTTCTAAGATTTTTCACTACTTAACTTTTGTTCAGACAAAATTGTTTTTTTCAACATGCAATTGAGCTCGTGTTAGAAAACAGATCCCAGTAGAGGGGTTACATACAGTACCTTCTGGGCTAACTCAGTGAAGATGCCGGCCAGGACAGAGAGCAGTTTTCCAGTGCTCCTGTGGGCTCCCAGGGACACGGCCAGGTAGTAGCGTACCAGCTCAGAGTACAGCCCCAGCATGGGGTCCAGGCGCACCAGCAGCCTGCACGCCTCACTCAGCTCCTAAACACAACACACAGGACAAAGGAGGAAAACAGAGGGTCACTGGTGAAATATTATGAATATCATGAGGTCATGATAAAGCAATCTAAAACAACAGGACATCATTGTTCAGAAAAACTCAGCAGAAAGAATGATGAACTCCTTGACATTACAGGCAAAATCGTCGAGTTCCAAGGCGTTTCAGTGGTGGTCGTGTATCTCCACTCCACTAGAGGGTGGTATGGGCTCCAGTATATGCTGTGTGACTACTGTACCTGGAGCTGCTGAGGTGGACAGGAGTCTCGGTGTACTCTGAGTCTCTCCAGTAGCTGTTCCAGTGTATCGCTGACCTCCCCCAGGGAGAGAGACGCCACCTCTGCTCCTAACTCCTCCTCCAGCAGACGACTCAGGTGACCAGGCTTCAGCAGGTCCTCCTGGGGCTCCTCCTCCTCACCTTCTGGAACAGGCAGATACAACAGGAAATTACATCACCATTCCCCATCAATGGTCAAGACACACAGAACGCTAGGATTGATCATGTTAACACATCTTGGCCCAGTCTTACTCGGGCATTCTTGGGATAGCTTTTTTTGACAGCTAGTTCTCCTACATTTCTCCAACAATAACCACACAAGGCAGTAAACAAGTGTTTCTTTATGGACAAGTTCAGAAAGTCCCTCCCAGTTTCAGTCTGTTTTTATCCACTTGGTGCCTAGTGAACACGACCCAGGTGTGTTATTGGAGGCAGACAGCAGGCGTGACTCCTCACCTTTCTTGGTGTCTGTCTGCTGTTCTCTCGGCTGTTCCCCCTCCCTCCTCTTCACCAGGGTCTGCACGGCAACCAGCACAGTGTTGATGGCCTTCTCCAGCTCAGCAGAGAACTCGGAGTGGAATGTTTGCTGGTAACCTGGGGAAAGTTTGAAAATGTGTGCACTCACTAACTGTAAGTCGCTCTGGATAAGAGCATCTGCTAAAATATGTCTCAAGACTCAAATGTAAAAAATGTAAAATGAAAGAGGTGGAGGGAAAAGTATTTTACCAATGTAATAACACTGTAATAGCATTGTAACATCAGTGTAATGCCATTGGAATGCCAGTGTAATACCATTGGAATGCCAGTGTAATACCATTGGAATGCCAGTGTAATACCATTGGAATGCCAGTGTAATACCATTGGAATGCCAGTGTAATACCATTGGAATACCATTTTTTCTATGATGGGGTCTAGGCCGGGTTCCTGTAAAGCCTTTTGTGAAAACTGCTGATGTAAAAAGGGCTTTATAAAATAAATTTGACTGATTGATAAAGCATGGTCTGTCTGTTCTCACCTGTGTGTCCGTGGCCCAGGGAGAGTAGCTTGGTCTTCCAGGTGGTGAACTCAGTCAGGCTGGCCTCCAGCTCTCCCCTGACGTACTGCAGGCCTCGGGTCAGACCAGGCTGGGTGTCAGCCGTGCCCTCTGGAGCTTTGGGGGTGAAGAGCTGCTCCACCGCGGGCATCTGTGCCGCCACGGCACCCAGCCGGTCATAGCCAGAGCAACACACAGAGAAGTGGCTCCTGGGGAGATTAAGAGAAGGGAGGGTTAGCAAATTAATAGAGCATGAATGGGAAGGCTATGCTTAAAGCTGCAATATGTAACTTTTTGGGCATCAGCTTCAAACAGCAGAAAGTACAATATTTTTGGTTATGGAAAACATATTTCACAGCAGGTTAGATGGTACAATAATTCTCTACACTATACTTGCTTGTTTTGTCATATAAACTTAAATTAGGCAAACTATTCGAATTTTAGAAACCAGGAAATGGTGGAGCATAGTGCATCTTTAAATGACAAAAAAATCTAAGATAAAATGAACCATTGATTTCAATATAGAAGATATCTAAAAAGAAAAGTCATGAAGACAAAAGCTCAATGCTCTTATCTGTGTTATGCTCTCAGTATTCCTGTGTAATGATATCAGTATTCCTGTGTAATGCTCTCAGTATTCCTGTGTAATGCTATCAGTATTCCTGTGTAATGATATCAGTATTCCTGTGTAATGCTATCAGTATTCCTGTGTAATGCTATCAGTATTCCTGTGTAATGCTATCAGTATTCCTGTGTAATGCTATCAGTATTCCTGTGTAATGCTATCAGTATTCCTAATGCTATCTTGTGCTCCTTGACCTTACCAGGAGTGCAGCGCCCCCTGTGTGGACTGCAGTGCCACTGCATCCAGCTCCTCTTTCAGGATCTGGGTTTGACCCAACATGTCCACCACACGCCGACTCAGCTGGCTCCAGGCCGGGTCTCCTCTCCTCAGCAGACACCCAGGGGGCTGCCTCTGAGCCGCTATGGGGGACGGGCACCTCAGGGTGGGCTCCCTCTGTCCGTCTACCCCCTCCGTCTGCTGGGGGCCCTCGGGGCAGCACTGCAGCACCCAGGATAGCTGCTGGAGGAGGGTGGCACACTGCCCTGCCAGGCCCTGGGCCTTGATCACCCAGCCCTGGAGGGAAGCCTGGGGGGGAAGGCCACCCGCATCCTCACTGTGGGACTGGAGGTGAGCCTGGATGCCCTGCACGCTGGCTGTTAGCCTCCTGTATGTGTTAGAGGATAGAAACCAAAACGAGTGTGAGAAGGACAACTACAGATGGAGATACTCAGGCGGTTTCCTAAATAGCACCCTATTATTATAAGGCTTTATAGGGAATAGAGTGCCATTTCAGATGCAGCCATATTCAGAGATACTCTATCCAGATGGTACGCTCTGAGGTGTAAGGTTAAAGGTCATAGGTTAAGGTTCACCTGAGGTGGACCCACTGCTCTGTGAGCTTGGCCAGGCGTCGCCTCTGTCTGAGCAGCAGCTTGAACAGGTGGGAGGAGAAGCCTCGGCAACGATCAATGTTCCCAATCCCCAGCTCCTGGAACACACACACACAGTTCAAAACGTCAGACAACAATTTCCAATTGCAGCACACAGTTATTCATATTTGCTGCACCAGACACCGTTAACACCATGGAGATCCTAGAAATAATGGCACGTAATTCTACGGTTTAGACCCCATTTAGAAACACAAAATAACATCCTTTCAGTCTCTCACCTTGGCAGCGCTCTGGAGGGCAGTCATCATGGCCGTTCTGCGGGCCCACGAGCGGTAGTAGTACTTCTGACAGCCGTCCCACGCAGCGTTCATCTCAGTAAACAAACTGAAACAGACAGTTCCATGCCACAGTCAACCGCCTACTCCATGACATACTGCACAGTTACTTAATGACATGCTGCACAGCTATTTAATGACATGCTGCACAGCTATTTAATGACATGCTGCACAGCTATTTAATGACAATGCACAGCTATTTAATGACATACTGCACAGCTATTTAATGACATAGTGCACAGCTATTTAATGACATAGTGCACAGCTATTTAATGACATAATGCACAGCTATATAATGACATAATGCACAGCTATTTAATGACATACTGCACAGCTATTTAATGACATAATGCACAGCTATATAATGACATAATGCACAGCTATTTAATGACATGCTGCACAGCTATTTAATGACATAATGCACAGCTATATAATGACATAATGCACAGCTATATAATGACATAATGCACATCTATATAATGACATGCTGCAGAGCATCTCAAAGTGTGGTGTGGTGTCTGTAACAGCCAGGTGGGTGTGTCTTGTCTTACATTTTCTCGGCCTGCTCCTGGGTCCTGACTGCAGCCAGGGCGGTCTGCAGCTCCAGCGGCTGCAGACACAGGGTCTCCTCTGGGTCCGTTGTCCTGTTCCAGTTCAGGCCCTTACGGTAGGACAGACCTGCAGAAAGACAGCAGCACTGTCAGTAAACTCCAGTCACATACTGTTGGACTACAATACTGTACAATATCAGTGTAACCACACTGACATAAACAGTTCCCTTTAGAGACTCACCGATCTCAGCCAGCATCCTGAAGAGATCAGACAGGGCTCTCTGCTTCTGCTGGAGGATGTGTTTGACCTCTGACTTCTGCTTCTCCTTCTCGGCTTTCAGGTCGATCGTGAGGCTCTGGAGGTCGCGCAGGTTGCTGATGATCTCCCCTGCAATAAAGACAGAAATATATTACAGTCAAAACTATAATCATAGAGGGACTTTTTCCCCACAATCTAATCCGATGTAGTACATCTGAAGCAAACATTTCTCATCCAAGACGCCTTTGTTTTTCTCATGGTCATTCATGATGGATTCTCAATGAGGCAGTACAAGCAGACGTTTCTCCAGCCCTTACCGGTGAAGACGTCCAGGTCCTCCGAGAGCTCTGGCAGAGGGTTCTTCTTCACCAGGGTCACACACATCTTCTTCATCTTCCTGGTGAGGAGGGGCAGGCGGCCCTGCAGAGACGAGGGCTCCACGCCCGCCGGGCCCTCCTCTGGGGACTCACTCTGGAACACACACAGTATGTCAAGTACAGTCATCGCCAATTTCATAAGAATGTACTGAAGAAGCTCTTTGTGGATAGAGGTACTGGTCCAAACTGTCATTTTATGAGTCAGAACATTAACGTTTTTGTGTCAGAACAAGTGTCGGAACAGAACATTGATACCATGGTATAAATGCCATATTGCCATAGTGTATTCTTGACTGATGCAAGTGATCGTGGCTACTGAGGGCTGTACTGTACCTGTAGGTCTCTGGCCCTGCCAGGGAGGGTGTTCTTCAGGGCATGGTGAACCCTGTGGAGTGGGGTGTTCTCTTGGTTGGCATCCACACTGTCCAGGCTAGCACTGCTGCCCTGCTCCATCAGCGCCGGGGCAACCGGCCCACTCAGCGCCGCCTCAAACTTCTTCACAAACTTAAACAGGGTTCTGGAAAACCATAAGAGTGGTAGATATTGTAATGAACTTGCTGTAGTGGGAGACATTGTGCTTACTGTATTGGGTTCAAGCTCCAAAGGTTTGGTATAACTTTTTTAACAAGAAAATATGGATATTTTTTTACAGGTAGTCTTACCGATGGGTCTTATCCACTGACTGTTTGATGGACCAGAAACTGACGTCGTTCCACTTGGAGATCTTCACAAAGTCCTTGAGCTCCTTCTCAATGGGCTGGCGGAGCTGAGTGACTTTGGTCTGAATGCATTCTGAGAACTGAGAGTAGTACTTGTGCAGATTCCATAGGAGGTGGCAGAGAGGTTCTGTGAAAGAAGGAAGGATTTCCTGTTCAGAACTACATCTGCATGTTTGAAAGGTGAACACCAAGCACTGTATTACAAGACAGCCTGTCGACTGTCTAAGTGCAGACTACACATGTACTGTATGTCTGAATATGTATGTGCCTCCATATGTGTGTGTGTAAATCTGATTATGTGTGTGTGTGTAAATCTGATTATGTGTGTGTGTGTGTGTGTGTGTGTGTGTGTATATGCGTCTGACTATGTGAGAAGGCGTTGCGGTGCGTCCCACCTTGTCCATGCTGGCTGGGGGCCAGGAGGAGGTGGCAGTGGAAGCTGAGCATCATGGCTAGCCTGGTGTGGTACTCTCCCAGGGTGGAGCCCTCCATGAAGGCCTGCAGCGTGGAGGAGACCGTGGACAGGGACAGACTCTCCGCATTATCGCCCTCTAGTGGACAGAACAAACAGGACAAGGAAATGGAGTTAGCTGGGAAATATATACGCTGCTGCCTAATACTTTTATGGGTTCTGACTTATAAACTAGAAATATCCTTAATCATGTCAAAGAGGGAGAGAGAGGAATGCAGGACGTGTAAATACTGTCAGAACATGTTATCGTTAATCATCAGTTATCCTATAGACATGAGGAGTGCCATAGTCTGGTTTCTACACCAGAAGTGAATGGTTATCTGTAGGAGGAATGTATATGGTGGAGGCAATTAAGCTCAGAATGTACTGAGTAAAGGAAAGGTTGCAGTCACTGATAAGGGTGGAGAGATGTGGATTAGTTAGGAATGGGGTCGAGGTCAGGTCACATTAAGGGAGAAGGAACAGTTTATTACCTGCATCACTTAACTTCCTGCCTAGCAATAAACATGGAATGTTTAGAGGGAAGGAGGAGTTCACCTAAATTGGAGTATATATATATATATATATATATATATATATATATATATATATATATATATATCTGTGCTGGTTGGAACATGTCTTTGTCTGTGCAGCTGTCTGACCCATTGGGTGAATAAACCTGGTTTGAGCTTTACTGATTGTCCGCAAGTTTTTTACACTTTAGTGTTGTGTTCATTAGGGCATGTAATGGAAAACACTTTAAAACATTTTTCGATGAACAAACATTTTAGTTTTTTATTGGACTAGTCCAGGTAGTCTCTCCCTGTTCGAGTCTGTTTTCTTCCGCTTGATGCCTAACGAAGACAACCTAGGGTCATCAGCAATGTGCAATAGTTACCTGTGCTGGTGCCCATCCTCTGCTCCTCCAAGTACCTCTCAACCAGCTGGTAGAGGGAGAACCAGTGCTTGGTGGATCTCTCCGTGTGCCGCTTCAAGGCATTGTCCAGACTGCTGGACCAACAGCTATTGACGCGCAAGAAGAAGGAAAAGAAAACGTTGACCAAGGACTTATTAACAAACTCTAGCGTGAAACCAGACCCATTTTATCCCATAGTGTCCCTCATAATGCATGCTAGTTGGTAACCAATTGTCTACACTACAATAACTATAATCTGAAATTATATTACATTATAAAAAGGTATATTGCATTGAAATGCACAATAGTATCATAACCAGGATAATAACCCTGCCTGCAGTTTCTGTTCCTTACTTGAGCTCCAGCTTGCGCCACTGGATGATGAGGTTAGTGACAGGCTCCAGCTCCCTCCTCAGAGAGACCTTGCGGCTGGCGTTGTTCTCCCAGTCCTGAGGAGGGAAAAGGGGGTAACAGAGTTAAGGCCATGGATGGAAAACATGGGCTGCGTCCCAAATGGCACCACAATGCCTTTATAACCTTCTACTTTTGACCAGGGCCCAACTAGTGCACTATAAAGGAAATAGGGTGCCATTTGGTACTCATCCCTAGGAGAGCTAGCCTGTTCCCAGATCAGTTTGTACCGTCTTGCCAACTCCTATGGTCATTGTCACGACAGCACAGGGAGAGCAGCAGCAGGACTCACCTGGGCTTTACTGAGCAGGATCTCCAGGCCGTTGAGGAACTTGGCCAGTGGGCTGGCCAGACTGAAGGCCATGATCCTCTCCATCACCACCGTCAACTGGAACAGAGAGACAGGCAGACTCAGCAACACTAAACACGACCTGGCACTGGATGAAGGGTCCACTCTGCATGGTTCTCACCTGGACTAGGGCGGGGTGCTCGGGCCACTCCTCCAGCCTCTGTCCGATGGCCAGGGCCATCTGCTCCAGGACAGGCAGACACAGGCGGGCCTCACTCATGTTGGGCTGCTGGTAGAAGTCATAGGGCCCGTCTGGTTGGAGGGTCAGGCTCTCGGGGCCTGGGGTCCCCTGGACAGTGTTTTGGAGCAGGGTGCTGAGAAGCAGCTGGGTGCCTGTCAGCTGCTGGTCCATCTCAGAATCTGAGGGTCACAAGAGAGACAAACGGTTTTAGACAAAGTCATAATGTCTTAACACAGCCAACAGTAGAGTTATGGAAATATCCTAAAGACAAGAGCAGGATTAAGTTACATCATATAATATCATACTGTCGGTAGGGCTTAAAAAGTCCCAACACATCTCATTTTCAGATGTTGTGTAATTGTATAGATATGAATGCAGACATGACTAAGTGTACTACTCACCCATGAGATGGTAGAAGTGTGACATCACAGGGGCTGTGGTCTGATAGGAGGAGACCAGAGCTCGGATGTGATCGCTGCTGTGATTGGCTGGAGCGCTGGTCTGGTACCACAGTGATTGGGTGTAGCCCAGACAGAGGCGCTGATGCACCTGTACCACAGTGTTCATACAGGCTGGAGACAGGAAGCCAGCCTCGCTGGGATCTTCTGTCACTTCCTCCTCCTCTGGCTCTCCTCTGTCTGCTGGTCCCTCAAGACTGGGCTGGGTGGTGATGTCAGCAAAGTCCTAAGTAGAAAGAGAAAGTAAAAGAGAGCGAGAGAGAAGAGTGAGACAGACAGACAGAGAAAAATAAAGAGAGGCAGGTGAGTCATGTTTGCAAAGTCAGCTAGGTGATAGTAAAATGTGATAAATCAAAGAGAGATTACATTGGCTAGCCCTGAAAAGACTGTACTGTACAGTACCTTGTTGAACTGGGGGAAGCAGCGTCTGAAGTCTCTCTCCTCTTGCTCGTCCTCACTCAGACCTGTTCCGTGGAGTCTGCTGCGGTGGCGGTACAGACTGGCTTCTAGCTGCTCTTTCTCCCGAGCACGCCTCTCCTGCTCGTCCCACTCGTTCACCAGAGCCTGGACATATCACACGACAAACATGAACACTGGTTGGTCCCCCTGTCGATCAATAGGATCAGACCACAAACACCAAATCAAAAAGTTGACATCCAATGTTATCCAATCAGAACTTGTGACACTCACCTGACAGATGTGTCTGAAGAGTTTGAGTGTGTCCTGGCTGAGCTGACCCGTGGAGAGGGCGTGACACTGCAGGTACAGCAGAGCGTTCAGGAGTAACGTCCCTGGCTCTGGAACCACGTGATCCAGGTCCTGCTGGGGTAAGAGCTTCCCTAGGCCCCTCAGAACATCCATACACCCCCTGGAGCACAGGTAGTCTGCCCTGGCCAGGTAGGAAGGCATGCTGGGGGACACAGAGGGGAAGGCCAGCAGGCAGGACACCAGCTTGGGCAGGCCTGGAATGGGGGTGAGGGAGGAGGCCACCTGGGATGCCACCAGTCTCATACCATGCCTCAGCTGGAGGATGGCAGTCCTCAGGGGCCCCACCACGTCAGGGTACAGCGGGTACTCCTCCGCCAGCCTCTGGGCGAAGCGGTGCTGCGAGGCCTGCCACACGGCCTCCTCCTTCAGCAGGCCCTGAGTCCCCGACCTGGATTTGGGGCCACTCCCCTGGAGTGCCTTCAGCAGGTGGGAGAGCAGGTCATCTATGGAGGCCGGCTGGCCGATGCTGCAGAGGTAGTGCTGCAGCTCCTGGAAGAGCCTGCCGTACTGGGGCTCGTTGGGCCTGCAGGCCTGCTTCCTGGAGAGCTCTGCTATCTGCTCCTTCACCTGCTGCATACGGATCCACAGGTACCTGCAGAAACATCACAGAGACAATGATGTTTAGAAAGACCCTATCTGGCAAAAACCAGTCAACCAGAACTATCTGATCAACAACTGTAGACAATACATAATACATTGTCATGGTGTTTTAGGTCAGACACAGTGAGTTCTTCTGTTATTGTGTATGGTTGTTCACCTGATGCGAGGATGCTGGAAGCCGTCGGTGGTGCTGCTTTCCTCCAGCTCAGCTCCGGTCAGCAGCTGAGAGGACAGACTGCGTCCTCTCCACTCCTCCTGCAGCAAAGCCAGCTGGGAAAGAGAGGCAGAGGCACCCTCAACGTCACATATAGGGGAAGAGAATGGCACTCTACTCCAACGTTAAAAAGATAGGAGATATCAACAGTCTATCTCCTCTACTAACATACAGTGTTACTGAGATAAAGAGACTGTAGCATTGACAGTGGCTCACCTCCTCCTGGGCGTAGTCCAGCTTGTAGGCCCTCTTCACGGCCGGATCGAAGATGGTCTGTGGGGTCCAGGTCTTGATCTGCAGCAGGCCCATGTTGACCCAGAAGACCCCGGAGCGGACCAGCTGGCTGAAGCCTTGGACGCGGATGGAGCCCTGGACCCTGTTCTGGACAAACTGCTGCAGGCAGGTGAGTAGGGCGTCCAGCAGGCCTTCGGGGAGCAGGTTGGGAGGCAGGATGTCTGTGAGGGTGGTCTGGACCTCCTGGGCGGCCACCAGAGGGTCCTGGTCCTCCACCAGGCTCTCACAGGTCTCTGTGTAGCTCTCCTGCAGCCCTGGAGGCAGCAGCTCTGATATGGACTGTAGCTGCCTGCGCAGAACCACGCCCTGCAGCCGTAGGTCAGTACCCCTGAGAGGACCGAGAGAGAGAGAGCGAGAGGGGGAGACTGAGTACTAAAGCTACAAAGTGAAAATAGTCATACCAAATGGATATGAATAGCTGCCCTATATACAGTACAAGCCCCCAAATCATACATTATGTGCATCATTCTGTCATTGTATATAGGTAGGGCAAGGTCTATTTCCCTAATTATAGTGCCAGCGTTCTGTATGTTGTGTATAGTGATTCCTCTCCGTAAGCTTGAGGTAACATCTCCATTGAATCATTCTCCAGTGAGCGTACCTGAACTCAGCCAAGGCAGGGATAGCCATGTTGTCCCACAGCACGGCGGTGACGTCTTGGAGCTGTTGGGTCCGCTCCCTCCACTCCCCCAGGGTGACCCGGGACGAGGAGAGGAGGGATGTCCCCGTGGGGTCCCACCGACCCCCCGTCTCGCTGCTGCTAAGAACCCCCAACATGCACCTGGACCACACTGCTTTGCTCAGCATGCCAGGACCCTGGAGGTGACACAGGGAGAGTGAGTGAACTCCTCAGTTAGAATGACTTAGTTGGAACACTTAAATTCAAATCAATAAATAACTGACGGAATAGCAGGAAATTCATTTCAGTGATGTGAATTGATCCAAAATCCTGATGCATATCTCCATAGACAACATAAATTGAGCTTGTTGGCAAGCTGTGAGCCTCTCTCATTGCCTAGATGTTACGGTAGCTACCTAACCTACCATGTTTTCAGGTGACAGAGGTGACTTGAATGATGTCATCTGGTTCTCGGAACACAGGGGGTCCCACTTCAGCCAGCGCTCGGGGTCAGAGGTCACACTGCTGCTCCACAGGGCCGCCAGGGCCTCCGATAGCAGATCACACCACACAAACTGCAGCTCCTCCGCAGGCTGGGAGGGGAAATGCAGGCACTACAGTCAAGTCAATACAGTTGCGTTTACACAGGCAGCCCAATTCTGATATTTTCTCCACTAATTGGTCTTATAACCAATCACATCCGATCTTTTCACATCAGATCTTTTTTGGAGCTGATCTGATTGGTCAAAAGACCAATTAGTGAAAAAAATATCAGAATTGGGCTGCTTGTGTGAATGCAGCCTACATCACTGCAGCACACTGGGGTGCCTTGAGGAACTCTCAGGTGTGCCGCGAAACATTTCCTAATTTTTATTATTTTTTGGAACACTCACTTATAAACATGACCTGTGGAATGCACATGGACTTTTGACTTGGGAGCACCAGGTCCACTCAGATAATAATGCCGGGGCGGCAGGTAGCTTAGTGGTTAAGAGCGTTGTGCCAGTAACCGAAAGGTCGCTGGTTCTAATCCCCGAGCCGACTAGGTGAAAAATCTGTCGATGTGCCCTTGAGCAAGGCACTTAACCCTCCTGTAAGTCGCTCTGGATAAGAGCGTCTGCTAAATTACTTAAAATGTAAAAAAATAATAATACATTGAATGGCACATGGTTACATCTGTATCGTTTCAAGTCCGGTGCGCTCAGGCTGTTGTTGTTAAATTTGTATCATTTAAGGGGTGCGCATCACAAGCAAATTCATTTGTATAATTTTACTTCGCCTGTGAGAACCATTAACACAGGAAAGTCTGATTATTCTTAGCTGTACCACATCCTCTGCCATAGAAACAAATGTAGCATGGCTTTGTGTCCGTGGTTGCTCCTTTACAATGCAGAAAACCACGGTCTTTAGCCCTAATTGTTCAAAACTATTTTACCTAAATATTTATATGAGATGCAAGTCATTGCCACTAAATAAATTAATAGGGACATTTTAGGTGTGCTGCAGAATCTTTTAGCCCATCAAGGTGTGCCATGGTTCAAAAACCCCTGGCCTACATGACACAAAACTGGATCTTCTGCTTTATGTTTGAGGCACAGATACAGGATCGTCCTCTTGAAGGACAATAACTATCAATTAATCAAATCAATCAATTATACTGAGGGTAAACTGGTTGAACCACTGACCCGGTCACTGCTGAGGAGGAACCAGAGAGGCTGGAGCTGGCTGACGTTCATGGGGGTGGACTGGAGACAGAAGCGCAGGTGTTGGGAGACCTCGCGACGCAGGCTGTCCTCGGACTCCCTGTCACTGTGGAGAAAAGACCACAGTAGTTAGTTATCCATACAACTACATGACACAACATACAAACATGTTGTGTTGTTAATATTTTGTATGTAATTATTGGTGCTTTTGTGTGATGTTTTTAATGTGCCAAAGATACTTTTCTGTCTAATGGAAATTGGATAGACAATTTTGAATTTGATACATTTGAAGCACTAGATTCAAAATCTAATTCAATAAAGCAAGATAATCCTCCATACTTCATGAATATATTTCCTCCATTGACCCTCTGTGGCCGTCTCTTACCCCTGTGTGAGAGCCAGCTGCAGCAGGTCGGTGCTGAGCCTGAGCTGGTTGAGTACGGCCAGCTCCTCCATGAGAGGCCAGAGCTGGGCCCTGCGGCTGAGCTGCTGTAACACCTCCCTACAGGGAGGGGCACTGTTTTCCTGCTCCCCCTCGTCATGCATAGAGGAGCGCACCTCCAGTAGGCCGCATGAGGTCATGTGACCCTGCTGCTGCTGCACGCACGACACTAGCCTCTCTAGGACACCTGGGATCAGGATAGAATTGAAAAATGAATAATTAGAGAGGGATGACCGAAACAGACCGACAGAGACACACACACCACTTTAGTATGTAGCACCAGGTTACCTGAGTTCTGGGGCTCTAGCTGGTTGTTGGCCAGCAGGACCAGGCCCCAGGCTTCTAGCAGTCTTTCCTTGGTGTCCAGGCCCAGAGCGGCTCCCTGCAGGCGGACCAGCTCCTGTCTCCACAGGGAGGCCGTGTTGTCCAGCCTCAGGTCTCCCACGTCCAGGGCCCTGCTCAGGACCCTCAGCCTGGAAGCACACTCGGCTACAGACTCCAGCTATGGGAGATAGCGATGAGGCAGACGGGTTAATATTAGTATTGTATTACTATACTCTCAAGTCTTAAACATGAGGAAGCCTGGAAATCAAGGCTACGTTATGCCAATAACTGATTGGAGAGTTTACAGTATAGGTGGGTGTTTCTGATAGTGTGTTGAATGCTCTCTCTCTCTGTCTCTTTCTCTCTCTCTACCTTGAATGGAAGGGGTTTCCCCAATATTTTCTGGATGCCCTTCAGGGCGGTAGCCACGGTGACAGAGGTGGACAGGACAGTCTGGATGGCAGCTGACACCGTCTGGAGCTCCTGCTGACCACTGGAACAGTACAATAACACAGGGTTGCTATCATTACATTTCCGGGTAGAAAACACAAAGTCTGTGTCCCAAATTGAACTATTTTCCTTATATAGTGCACTACTTTAGACCAGGGCCCATAGGACTCTATGTAGGGAATTGGGTGCCATTTGGGACGCAACCAAAACCACTTTTACAATAAAGTCAAGTCAATTTCATTGATTCTACTGTCCAGAAGGTCTATTGGAAGATTGTAATACTTCTTCCTGGGTAAAAAGGAAGGTGTTACTCACTCATGGGTGCCATCTCCCAGTAGTAGCTGTGGCAGCCGGAGGATGAGGTGTTTCTGCACCCACTGCCAGTGTAGCGAGAGGACCGACACTCCCTGGGAGTCGGCAGGCAGAGAGTTACACACCTGCCAGAACCGGTCTCTCCACTGCAGCAGCTGCAGGATCTGTGATCATAGATAATATTTATTACTATTGTTCTATTTCATTCTGTGGTGGACACACACACAAACAGAATTTAAGCCCAGGTTGATGACGGTTACTGAATGAGAGACCTAAACTAAAATGGAATTACAATGACTCCTACGGTATTATGACAGTCAAGTAGACAAACCTCGAACATGAGGTGGTCAGATATGTAGGGCTGGCCAGTCTGCACAGCCTGCAGTGTGAAGGTGTCCCACAGGTCAAAGAAGGAGCGCAGGTGCATCAGCACTGGGTGGGGCAGATGACCAATGTCCACCGTCCCTTTAATGGTCAAAAAAACATACGGCAACATTATAACAGCATTAACCTTTATATTTCAGCAAGGACTTGCACTGGGTTTTGTTAAACGTGGTGTACTGCACAGTCACCAAGTCGAGCTGTACGGATGCAGCACTGCAACAGTATGTACCTTTGGAGAAAGCAGTGGCCAGCCTCAAAGAACTGTTGTGTGCGGATGTCTTGATAGCACAGCTCCCCACCGCAGCCCTCTCCTCTCTGTCCATCAACAGTATGATCCTGTAAAGACACACATCACACCCAGCTTACTCGACAACCACAGCCACCATGTAACCCCAGTTACTAAACAGCCAGACTATCAGACAGAGGCTATATCCCAAATGGTTCCCTATTGTGGGCACTACTTTTGACCTGAACCCTATAGGCCCAGGTCAAAAGAAGTGCACTATATAGGGAATAGGGTGCCATATGGGACACAAACAGACACATACCTGTTGGCCACTGCATTGAGAGCCTCCATGAACTCCATGTACCTCTCCTCGTCCTCAAAGTTACACGTGTTGGCCAGAATGTCCAGGTACTGCTTGTTCCAACGCATGTCCACCAGAATCCTGTAGTCATCTAACACAGACATTAACATTAATGTCCATTTTTAAACTTGTGAAAAGTGATTGTTTGAGTTATGATATGATATATCTTTGTAAATGAGCTGGAGAGGGTGTTGGAAAATAGTTTAGTGACAGTGGTTAGTTTAGCCTACCTGTGCTGTGTGGTTGCAGCAGCTCAGTGAGGCACTTTCCCTTCACAGTCAGCTTGCTGCTGAACATGGCCTTCAGAGCTCTGTTCCCTGCCTCCAGCTGCACCAGCGCCACCTCTGTAACAACAAACGGATCTCAGAGCAGTCCTTAAGAGAAACACGCACCACATACACAGACAGCAACAAAGCTCCACTGACCACAGAGCAGTCCCTTGACATAAACAGTAACATACACCAAATACATGGCCCTGGTAGGGAGCAACAAAGTTCCAAAAAGGATAAAACGCCAAAGGAAGGGCAGTGAGTGAGCTCCGTACCAGGGGCGTGTTTGTAGCTCTTGGCTAGGCTGGAGAGCCAGGCGGTGCGGAGCATCCAGTCAGAGTGCGAGGCCCTCTCGGTGAGCAGCCTGACAGCGGTGGGCAGCAAGCGCAGGGTGTCACCGTCCTCCTCCAGGTCCACGACACCACCGGAGAACACCAGGCCCTCGTGCAGCGCTGCCCCGCTCTGCAGTGCCCTCTGGAGGTCACTCAGGCTCAGGGGACGGCTCCTGGTCACACACACAGACACAAGTTAAGCTAAACGTTAACATTATAGCTACAATAAGACCGGGTACAACTCTGGGTCCTAGTTATAACCCGTTTTTCCCAGGTCTGGTCACATGATCAGGAAAAACTCCCATGCCCAATCTGTGATCTATGAGTCTCACCTCTTGCCCTGCATGCTGAGGGTGTTGAGGCAGAAGGAGAGGACCTGTCCGTCGCGGAGGACCGAGGAGAAGCAGGAGTCTTCGGTGGAGAGCAGGGCTGAGGGGAAGCCGTCGGGCCACACCCCCGCACACAGCAGTCCGCTGCCCCAGTCCTCTGTGTCCAGGATGGACAGGTGGCGCTCAATCACCTCCTGGGCTTGCTGGAACCACATGTAAAACTCCATTCTTTATTATTGACTTAAATGAATCTACTATGAACATAATATAATATGAACATAACTACGGTCTTGGACTGTGAGATATCACTGTATAGATATAGGCTGGTGGGCAGGGTATATTACATCAGGCTGGTTGAGGTTATAGCAGTGGGAGTTATAGAGGACGTTCTATAATAGACAAGGTGGTGTTGGTTGGTACCCGTTGGATGGCGGTGGTGCGCTGGCAGAGGGAGTAGGCCTCCCCACAGGCGTGCTGCAGGGCACTGGGCAGGTCCACCCCTCTCTGCAGCTGGCAGGACAGCAGGGCTGCAGCGTGGAGCAGGGAGGAGACACATGATGCAGGGGAATCTGGATGGACAGAGAGAAAGGACGAGATAAGAGATTCATTCTGGAGGAGTCATTCTATGGATACCTCTGTTTTATCTGAAGAAACAAGGGACATGCAAACCACAGCTAATGTCCAACTGAAATCCTATGTCTTTTGGAGAGATTTCCCTCAGCGCTCACCCCAGATGGTAGCTTTGATGTCAGTGTGTATTTCAATCAGCAGGTCACACACACAGTCTCCAGTCACCCCAGCGGTGTGGAGAACAGTCTTCAGGTCCAGAGTGTCCCAACAGACCCCCTCGTGTTCCCCTGGGATGTAGATCTCCACCCCACGGTTCCGCATGGCTCTGGAGATCTCTCCATGAACTGGGTCCATGGTCAGGAACAACCTAGAGACAGGTGAGATGATGAGTTGAGACTGGGCTGTCGAAATAGAGTTGGTGTGTGTGTGTAACCCTTTGTATTGTACCTGAAGTTGGGGTGTGGGGTGATGGATGGGGTGGTTCCGTCGATGACCCCACGTTCGTTGATGGTCAGACACCCACCGGGCTCCAGCAGGGCATTCAGACGATCCAACACAGAGGGGCTTAACACAAACAGAAACACAACACCCATTAACCATACATTTACCATCTGCAACACACTCTGGTGCCATCCAGCCTTACACAAGGTCCACATCTATCTTTAGTGACATGGTATAATTAGCTATATTGTGATCATTTAAGATGCAGGTCCTGCTATTGGCTGCTTTCCTCACCTGCAGAAGTTGACATTGTCCATGAGCAGCCAATCCCCAGCCTGCAGGGCCTGGACCAGCATGCCGTCCAGCCACTCAAAGCCTCCGTTACTCCAGCCATCCTGCAGCTGGGCCAGACGCTCCTTCAGCAGGGTGAAGTCCATCTGCAGCTTGGACATGTCTGGAGGAAGGGTTGGTGAGGGACACAATACATGGGGTTTATACTATTCATTCACATTTTATCACATGAAGATATAGGGAAACATTTTCCTCTCGCAATGACACACGCTGTGAGCAAAATATAATGGTTAGTTTGCTCACAGCGCCTGTGTAGAATGACCCATTAGCACCAAAAACTTAACTTCAAACATTCCATAAATCACCTACTCATACACCATCACTATGATTCAAGTGTTAGTCTGTTCCAGAGAGAGCTACACCCTCAGGTTGCTGCCTGTTCCTGACATTACCTGTGAACACCTTGAGTTTGGTGTTGAGCTTCTGCAGCAGGAGGATGATGACCTCCAGTTTGTTGAGGGCTTCGGAGGTCACCGTCCCCCCAGTTCTCTCCAGGCCCTCCTCCTTCAGCCAGCGACAGAACAGGCTCCAGGTCTTCAGCAGGAACTCTGTGTCCTGGACCCCTGCCCCGTCCAATGACATCAGGCCTCGTCGCGTTACCATGGCAACGATGTAGTCCACGTTCTCCAGTACCTGCTGCCATGGCCGCACAATGTCCACCTGGAAAACAGACCAAACCAGCTTGTAATCCAGGACCTCTATACCAGGCGGTGTCAGAGGAAGGCCCTCAAAATTGTCAAAGACTCCAGCCACCCTAGTCATAGACTGTTCTCTCTGCTACCGCACGGCAAGCGGTACCGGAGTGCCAAGTTTAGGTCCAAAAGACTTCTCAACAGCTTCTACCCCCAAGCCATATGACTCCTGAACAGCTAATCATGGCTACCCGGACTATTTGCACTGCCCCCCCACCCCATCCTTTTTACGCTGCTGCTACTCTGTTAATTATTTATGCATAGTCACTTTAACTCTACCCACATGTACATATTACTTCAACTACCTCAACTAGCCGGTGCCCCCGCTGATTGACTCTGCACCAGTACCCCCCTGTATATATAGCCTCCCTACTGTTATTTTATTTTACTTCTGCTCTTTTTTTTCTCAACACTTTTTTTGTTGTTGTTTTATTTTTACTTTTTTTGTTAAAAATAAATGCACTGTTGGTTAAGGGCTGTAAGTAAGCATTTCCCTGTAATGTCTGCACCTGTTGTATTCGGCGCATGTGACCAATACAATTTGATTTGATTTGATTACTATATTTAGTTCCCAGCTTGGTCACTAGAATGGACTGGTTACCTGTTCGAACCCTCCCAGCAGCTCGGTGGTGTCCATGGCGCTGTTCATGGCCATGACCCGGAGGCGGTGTCCGGTGAGCAGGGCCAGGAGGCGCACCAGGCTGGTCTTCCCGCTGGCCGTGGGGCCCACCAGCACCGCCATCCAGCCCATCTCCACACACTTCATCAGGGACTCCAGGGGCCGCAGTGCCTGGTGGGTGATAGACAGAGGGGGGTCCAGGGCCACGGGGGCTCCACCGCTACGCTGGAGGACAGAGAAGCCCACCTGGATGACAGGGAGAGAGGAGTAGGGCTAGCTCTGAATGACACCATGTACAGCAGGTACATATGATTCATTTAAAACATTACTTGATAATATCTTTCAACCTAAAATTGGATGGAGTTCGCAACATGACTGACCTGCAGATTGAGTGGAGTGATGTGGAATTGTCTTGATCCGGTGTAAGGCTCAAAGTCCTCCCCAAACACCTTCCTGAACACAGATAGCACCTGAAGACAAAACACGTCATGAGATAAACAGGAAGTTCGAACACAAACCCACCGAGTAAAGGTAGTACATATGTCCAGGAGTTGTAGTCTACATACCTGGGCCTTGTCTGCCTCGGTCCTCATCCTGTCAGCGTACACCAACCCCACATGCTGACCCGGGTTGAAGAACCCTGGTGATTGGTCAGTTTGCATCAGCTGACACCAGCGGAACATGTCGCGCAGGTTGAACTCCCATGGGGCCTCCTCTCTGACCCCACTTCCTCTCCACAGATACATCAAGGACCAGCTGACAAAATCGAATAGAATACAACTTTATGAATTGTTCTTTTCACAGTCTTTTTTTAGGGGAACAGTGGTAAGCAATGTTTGTGGCTCGGCAAAATGGTGCTTAAGACAGGCAAAAAAGGACTAGGTGACTAAATATGATGGCCAACACTGAAATTGGGGGGTTCTAACACCTAAAAGTCCCCAAAATAAACCAGAGTGACTGCGGTGACCCCCCCCCCACAGTGTTTCTGGTCACTTTGCCATGCACTAATGGCGATAAATGTGATGAACATCGGCTGCTTCTATACAGGCTGGTGGCCATTGTCCTTGGCTGGAACAGCGGGGTCAAATTTGGACACATATGTAATCTTTCCAATAGTCAATGGTCATAGAGCAAGAAAACCTATCAAGTCTTTTTACAACTGGTTGCTCTGAAAGAGATCACCTGGGAGCCACTGTAAAAGGACTCCTCTACCTACCCGATTGTTGAACTGCACCATTTTAGAGATGATCTGATTGTCAATGTTCGGGAAGATGGAGTCTCCTATGAATTCCATGTCCTCACTGGTCAGCTGATCCACAAACACCTGAGAAAACAGTCGAAATTACAATACAATTTCACAAAAAGACTAAAATACATATTCAACCATACTATTTATTCAACATATCAATACATAATATATCTAAAATACTTGGCTAGCTCTTTATTGCTTACCTGAGTGAATCTGTTGAGGAAGGATTTGGGCAGGCCCTTGCGCCCCCCTCCTTGAGTGAAGGGGTTCTGGCAGCCAAAGATCTTTGTCTTCTCGTGTTGCACCTGGAAGCTCATGCCCAGCTCTGGGATGTAGATCTCAGCACGGTGGTCAAAGCAGGCGTTTAACCCCTCCAGCACGGACTGAGAGGCCAGGTTCAACTACACAGGAGTAGAGAAAAATAGACGTGTGTCATTATCCAAGAATTGTGTCATACAAAATCAACATTTTACTTTCTCCTATAGCTTTATTCTATTCTGGGGTCCCACTCAAGAATTGATGTAACCTAAAACAACGTAAATTCCCTCTCAAGTTGACATGTCTATTAACTGGTGAGTCCATACCTCATCCAGGACAATCCAGTGCCCAGCCTTCAGTCCAGCCAGGAGAGGGCCATCGCGCCATGCAAACTCTCCCCCTTTCCCTCCTTCCACAGGCAGGTCGGTCCCAAACAGGTCTGTCACATCCTGTCAGGAAAGGAAATTACATCATACATTGGTTTAGAGTGCCACCACTGGTGTTTCTAATTACTCCTTTATGGTGCGTTTCATTTCACAATTTTATGCATTTAAAGCAATAATAGTACAATATGAAAATAACATGTACTTATAAAATCTATACTGAACAAAAATATAAACGCAACAATTTCAAAGATTTTACTGAGTTACAGTCAGTTGAAATAAATAAATTAGGCCCTAATATCTATGGATTTCACATGACTGGGAATACAGATATGAATCCTTTGTTCACAGATACTTTCTTTTTTTTAAAGTAGGGTTGTGGATCAGATAACCAGTCAGTATCTGGTGTGACCACCATTTGCCTCACGCAGCGCGACACATCTCCTTCGCATAGAGTTGATCAGGCTGTTGATTGTGGCTTTTGGAATGTTTTCCCACTCGTCTTCAATGACTGTGCGTAGTTGCTGGATATTGGCGGGAACTGGAACATGCAGTTGTACACATCGATCCAGAGCATCCCAAACGCGCTCAATGGGTGACATGTCTGGTGAGTATGCAGGCCATGGAAGAACTGGTACATTTTCAGCTTCCAGGAATTGTGTACAGATCCTTGCGACATGGGGCCATGCATTATCATGCTGAAACATGAGGTGATGGCGGCAGATGAATGGCACGACAATGGTCTCCGGATCTCGTCACAGTATCTCTGTGCATTCAAATTGCCATCGATAAAATGCAATTGTGTTCGTTGTCCATAGCTTATGCCTGCCCATACCATAACCCCACCCCCACCATGGGGCACTCTGTTCACAACGTTCATATCAGCAAACCGCTCGCCCACACGACGCCATTCACGTGGTCTGCGGTTGTGAGGCCAGTTAGACACCCTGCCAAATGATCTAAAACGACGTTGGAGGCAGCTTCTGGTAGAGAAATTAACATTAAATTATCTGGCAACAGCTCTGATGGACATTCCTGCAGTCAGCATGCCAATTGCATGATCCCTCAAAACTTGAGACATCTGTGGCATTGTGTTGTGTGACAAAACTGCACATTTTAGAGTGGCCTTTTATTGTCGCCAGCACAAGGTGCACCTGTGTAATAATCATGCTGTTTAATCAGCTTCTTGATATGCCACACCTGTCAGGTGGATGGATTATCTTGGCAAAGGAGAAATGCTCACTACAGGGATGTAAACTAATGTGTGCACAAAATCTGAGAGAAATTAGCTTTTTGTTCGTATGGAATATTTTCTGGGATCTTTTATTTCAGCTCATGAAACATGGGACCAACACTACATGTTGCATTTATATTTTTGTTCAGTATAGTTTAAAGTTCAGACATTACGTAACAATACAACATAGCATAGACCAGTGGAGGTTGCTGAGGGGAGGACGGCTCATAACAATGGCTGGAACGGAGCAAATGGAACGGCAACAAACCATGTGTTTGATGTATTTGATACCATTCCACCAATTCCGCTCCAGCCATTACCACGAGCCTGTCCTCCCCAATTAAGGTGCCACCAACCTCCTGTGGTGTACACATGTAAATAAATAGTAATCCAGACAATAACATTTAAAAATGTTCATTATCATAGTAAAAGCCTTCTGTATTAACACAAGAGGCCCGTGAAAGTTTGAACAGTTTCTTACAGTCTGCTCCGAGAGGTTGATCCTGACGAGGTGGTTCCCAGAAGCCTTTGCCAGGGCGGCCACCAGGCTGGTCTTGCCCACGCCAGGTGAGCCCTCCAGCAGCACGGGTCTCTGCAGCTTCAGGGCCCTCAGGAGCCTCTGGGCGTTGACCGCTGTGGTGCCTGCTGCTATGGCATAGTCAGTCAGGCTCCTGCTCTCACTCTCCGGGCCTGGCAGAAGACCATTTTTACAAAAACAGATCCATTATAAACGACATGCTCTAGTCTAGGGTTGTGTCCTAAATGGCACCCTATTCCCTATATAGTGCACTATTTTTGACCAGGGCCCAACGCCCATTAGGGACGCTTCATGCTCTAATCTAGGATCAAAGTATCCCCACCTGAGGAGATGTAGAAGGGGTCGATGCCAAAAAAGTCGTCCCCCCACTGGGGCTCCCTGAGCAGGCTGGTGTCGTAGACCCTCAGGGCGTCTAGCATCTCCTGGTCCAGCTTGGTGATCCCACCCAGCTTGGTATGCAGGAAGCTCAGACAGGCCCTGCGCGCCACCAGGGCGTTCTCCGCAGCAGACACTGTTGTCCCTGTGACATCCCAAGAAGGAGAGAAAGACGTGAGATCATGTGATTGTAGCACTGAGGCCTACTAAGCATCATACAGCATCTTACACATGCTCTGTATTCTAACATAAGCACAACTTACGAGTTTTGTGTCCTTACGAAAGCACCAGAACATTTGCTGTGTATTTCCACATCACTATCAACAACAACAACAACATGCAGTGTACTGTGACCTAGTGCATGTGTCCTGGTGTCTGACCTGAGCCGATGCCGTCCACATAGACTAGGCAGGCGGCGTGGATGAAGGCAGTGACCGTGTCAAGCCGGAGGTCCCACTCAGCCTCCTCCTCGCCCTCGTCCCCCATGGTCATGAAGCCGTCGGCGTCACGCTCACACACCAGGTTGAGGAAGTTGACCCAGGACAGGATGTCCCTCACGCTGACAACGCAGCGCCGCCCAAAGTCCTGGTTGGTCAGCCAGTCAATGAAGTCCAGCATGAGCTCAGCGATGTCTCCTCCTGGGTTGGGGGTCAAAGGTCTTAGTGAGAGATGGCCAAGACAAGGAAGTTAAATAGACATGGATGAACTTAATAATACAGTGGGATACTGTATGTGTACCTATGAACACATTTGAGATTAAGAACAACAAAAACTGAAGAGATTTAAACTCAAATGAGATAAGTAGAGTTAGGGAGACTATTCTAGCCTATCAAATGCTACTCCTAGATGAGGAGATGTATTCTGTCTGTGGTGTGTGGAGGAGAGGAGTACCTTGGTGGTCGTTGTCGTCCAATGAGAGGCTGGTCCTCAGGTTGTGCTGGATGATCTGCACCAGGTCACTGCGGCTGTTACTCTGAGGGCACCAGATCTCTGTGAACCTGTTCCTCAGCGCAGGAGAGAGCTGGACACACACACAGAGAAATGTTAACAAGTTGGACTGATCATCTACATAAACAGAAGTGGTTGTGGCCCCGTAGGTCCCTCCAGAGGCTGAAATAGAATAGGATGGAATTTTAGGGGCTGGTTTAGACTCCTAGGATTCATCCAGGAAACTCGCCCTGCTAGTTAATCTGTTGTAATGGTTTACCTCTTTCTTGCCGAAGTCTCCTCCAGGGTTCATGGTGGCAACCAGGCGGAAGTTCTGCCCTGCTGTGATCAGCTCCACGTCGTCGTCATCTCCACTTCCTTTCTCTGCCAACACCAGAGACTTCTCCGTCTCTAGGACACTGAACCAATCAGAGAGCATGGTCAGAGGTTAGAGGTCAACGATATCTAATGAAGCGCTATACGCTCACTATTGTGAGAAAGCAGCTCTATTCCCATATCCACACTAGTATACCATTCAGAATGAAGTGATGTATTTGGCAGGGATTCTAAATAGTACGCTAGTGCGGATATCAGTGTGTGTGTGTTTACCTGTTGAGTCTCTCTAGCACAGAGTCGTCAGCCAGGGAGATCTCGTCCATGAGGAACACCCCTCCCTCTCTCATGGCCAGGACCAGGGGCCCGTCGTGCCACTCAAACAACCTGCCGTCCTCAGCATCTGCCTGTACCAACACGCAACAACAGGGGGGGTCAGTGGGACTGGCTATATGTTGCATTATCTGTATCATGTACTAATATAGCATTTTACTTTAACCTATTTTTTTTTACTTAATTACTGTGAGTTATAACATTTTGAAGGACCTTAATGCCTTATAAAGGGTTTATGAAGGCTTCATAAGTTACAGTTAATTTAAATTGCGACCATTAACGGTGTGGTATCTACCTGGTGTGTCCCAGTATGTCTGACAGGACGCAGGCCGCCCAGGAAGTCAGACGTCTCCATGTGCAGGTGACAGTTGAGGGAGAAGAACTTATGTCCGGCCAGTGCAGCAAACAGCTGGCAGATGGTGGTCTTCCCACACCTGGGGGGGAGGAGAACTTATGTTCTAACTGATCCTTTTTGGAGGTTTAGGCTAGTACGTTACTGCAGGGGTTCCCAAGCTTTTTCACTCAGTCCCCCCCTTCCAGCATTGGGGAACCTCCCATGCCTCACTGCGTGCACAGGTCTATTTCCATGGGCACAAGCACTGTCCATGACAAACTGTTCACACCCCTCGTTGGCGGAGAGAACATTTTGCAGGTTTAAAGCTCATTTCCTGCAATTCTACACATTTTCTCATGGGGTGCAGACAATTTAGCAGTTTTAAAGCTCATTTTCTTGCAATTCTATACATATTGCCATGTCTAATGTGTATTCATGTGATATTTGAGTGACTCGAAGATCTACAAAATCTATGGGCTAAAAAACCTAGCTAAAAAATGTTAACCAACATGGGCTAGTTGATCTAGACATTTCTGACAAGTTATAGCTAAATAGCTCTCTAAGGTATGCAATGACTGATGACGAGGAAAACTGATGCACTACCCAATTTCGAAATCGCACCTTGTGCGAAAGACGGACTGAGCCCCCCCCCCCCTCCTCAGGAGAAGTGGACACAGTTAGGAGACCTTTGTCTTTCTGTAGTACTTATTAACCCATTCACTTCACCTTCTGCTCGCTTTACAGATTTAATTGACAATTGGACAGATTTCCACAATCAGGAACTCAGGATGAATCCTACCCAGTGTCTCCCACCAACAGAACAGACTCCCCGAAACGCAGGGCCCGTCCCACCAGCACGGCCAGTCTCCTCATCCCCCGCGTCCACACCACGTGACGGAACTCCTCAGGCACGCCCGCGATGCTGTCCACGAACGGACCTGCCATTCACAACAAACCAGATGAACTCTTCTGACACACCGGCCAATAGAAATGGCCTACTAAACTTTAGCAAAATCATTAGCAGATTAGTATGTTATGCAAAGGGAGGTAGTGTCATTCCAGGACAAAACCACATGACGGACAATTCATCCACTTCACACTCAATATTCATGTTCACACTCCATTGACCACAAATAATGGGGAATAGTGATATGCTGTACATTGTCTCAACATCTAAAGTACATATTATGTATGCGCAGCCAAGAGTTATGAGGTTTCTCTCATTCCCTAGATGCCCTTATAAGACACCATATTCATAATGAACATTCTCCATACCACATTCTGCACTTCGACAGAATAGTTGCAGTCACAGTAATTGAGCACATTCTTGTGTTGTTGACACACTCCTCCAATATGAATTGATTGTGAATGAGCAGGGTCATGCACACAGGGTCATGCACACAGTTGGGTTGGTTGGCAAAAGAGCATGTTGGTGTGTGTGTGAGTGAAACAGGTTTGGCTCTACTCACTAAACTGTGTGGTGAGTTGCTGCTCAGAGAACAGGGTGTCAGAGTTCACCGTCCTCTTGAAGTGTTTCTCCAGGATGGACTGGATAGTGGCGGCCTCTTCTGGCTTCCTGACCCGCCCAGCCAGCAGCATGAACCCTGAGAGAGAGACACACACACACACACACACACACACTTCAACAATCCTTAATACTTAGGTGAAAAGACATCACCATGCATGAAGTGGAACATGATTTCACACATCATCACACTGAAAAACCACAGATAGAGAAAGCAATAGACAAAAACAGATGTGTTTTTGCCGTGTAAGATGGGATGAAAGTGCTGCTGTGATCCTATTGGGGCTCACCGTCATCAGCCAAATGCTGCAGCCAATCGCGGGAGGCATCTGTCTGCTCCTCCAGCCGATAGCGGTCGGCCCAGCGGAAGAGATCTCTCAGGGTGATGAACCCATGTTTCCCAGCAAACACTGTAGATCCCCTGCGAAGAGACTACACACACACACACTGAGTTATACAATTATAACACAACATTATCTTACTGCCAAAGGCAATGAGTTAGCATATGAAAGGAGGTGAAATACGAGACCGTCACCTGGAGATCCTGCATGACCTTGACCAGCTTGGAGCAGTAGGATGGAGGGAGACTACATCTCTGGTGGAGGATGGTCTCTAGCTCATCACTAGGCAACTCATCAAAGTGAAGCTCCACAAAACGATTCCTGAAGGCCCTGGACAGCACCTGAGTGGAGAGAAATTATATTGCACTCGATGAGACCTGGTCTATCAAACTACACTTTCATCACCATCCCAATTTGAGTGCCTGAAGGAACAGATCACATCGTCCTCAATGACATTTCCTTAAGAAAATGTGTGCGCTTGCTTGTCTTGCACTATTTATGGTTGTGAAATAACCAAACTACAATCCCAATAACCCACTACGGCCCGAGTGACACGTACCTTTCTGCCTCCGTAGAGACCAGGAGGATTCTGGGTAGCGAACAGCATGAATCGGGGGTGGGCTTTGATCACTTCCTGTGTCTCTGCGACAAACAGCTCCCTGTTGTCGTCCAGCAGTCTGTTGAGGGCCTCCAGGACGTCAGTAGGGGCCAAGTTCAACTCATCCAGAATAATCCAGTAGCCTTTCCTCATGGAGTCAATCAGAACGCCTACAGGGGAAGCATACAGAGACACACAGCGAGAGAGACACACGCAGAAGCACACAAACAAAACAAAGACATTACACCGTGATCATGAACAGAACCGTCTGTGTGAGATACTGAATGCAGGGCTACAGTGTAGAACTGGTCGTACCCTCTTTGAAGACCAGCTTGCCCTTGCCGTCAGAGGAGTAGCAGCCGATGTACTCCTGGATGTCTGTGTGCTCGTGGTTGTTGATCCTGACACACTGGTTCCCCGTAGCCGCCGCTATCCACCTGATCAGGCTGGTCTTTCCCACCGAGGTCTCTCCTTGGATCAGGACGGGGTGGCCCCTGAAGAACAAACAGAAATACAGAAACAGAATATTACTAGTAGATCTGGGTAGTGTCTGTTTCTAGCTGTGTTTCAATGTGCACTTAGTGGAAGAGGAGTTAACTGATTTTCCTTTGACCTCAAGTGTAGAGGTCATGGATGCGTCCCAAATGGCACCTTATTCCCTAGTACACTACTAGGGTGCCATTTGGGATGCCGACTGTGTCCAGAGAGGACTGAATTAACCTCATAATGAATGGCAGAGAAACAATCAAGCACTTACTGGGGACGATTGACCTGTGGTGAGGTCGTGTAGAATTGACCTGTGGTGAGGTCGTGTAGAATTGACCTGTGGTGAGGTCGTGTAGAATTGACCCGTGGTGAGGTCGTGTAGAATTGACCCGTGGTGAGATTGAGTAGCATTGACCTGTGGTGAGGTCGTGTAGAATTGACCCGTGGTGCGGTCGAGTAGCATTGGGTAGTGTTTGTTTGTAGCTGTGTTTCAATTGTGCAATTGATTTTCCTTGGCCTCAACTGTCTAGGTCATGTACAGTGAGGGAAAAAAGTATTTGATCCCCTGCTGATTTTGTACGTTTGCCCACTGACAAAGACATGATCAGTATATAATTTTAATGGTAGGTTTATTTGAACAGTGAGAGACAGAATAACAACAACAAAATCCAGAAAAACGCATGTCAAAAATGGTATAAATTGATTTGCATTTTAATGAGGGAAATAAGTATTTGACCCCCTCTCAATCAGAAAGATTTCTGGCTCCCAGGTGTCTTTTATACAGGTAACGAGCTGAGATTAGGAGCACACTCTTAAAGGGATAAAAGTATAAAAGACACCTGTCCACAGAAGCAATCAATCAATCAGATTCCAAACTCTCCACCATGGCCAAGACCAAAGAGCTCTCCAAGGATGTCAGGGACAAGATTGTAGACCTACACAAGGCTGGAATGGGCTACAAGACCATCGCCAAGCAGCTTGGTGAGGTGACAACAGTTGGTGCGATTATTCGCAAATGGAAGAAACACAAAAGAACTGTCAATCTCCCTCGGCCTGGGGCTCCATGCAAGATCTCACCTCGTGGAGTTGCAATGATCATGAGAACGGTGAGGAATCAGCCCAGAACTACACGGGAGGATCTTGTCAATGATCTCAAGGCAGCTGGGACCATAGTCACCAAGAAAACAATTGGTAACACACTACGCCGTGAAGGACTGAAATCCTGCAGCGCCCACAAGGTCCCCCTGCTCAAGAAAGCACATATACAGGGCCGTCTGAAGTTTGCCAATGAACATCTGAATGATTCAGAGGAGAACTGGGTGAAAGTGTTGTGGTAAGATGAGACCAAAATCGAGCTCTTTGGCATCAACTCAACTCGCCGTGTTTGGAGGAGGAGGAGGAATGTTGCCTATGACCCCAAGAACACCATCCCCACCGTCAAACATGGAGGTGGAAACATTATGCTTTGGGGTTGTTTTTCTGCTAAGGGGACAGGACAACTTCACTGCATCAAAGGGACGATGGACGGGGCCATGTACCGTCAAATCTTGGGTGAGAACCTCCTTCCCTCAGCCAGGGCCTTGAAAATGGGTCGTGGATGGGTATTCCAGCATGACAATGACCCAAAACACACGGCCAAGGCAACAAAGGAGTGGCTCAAGAAGAAGCACATTAAGGTCCTTGAGTGGCCTAGCCAGTCTCCAGACCTTAATCCCATAGAAAATCCGTGGAGGGAGCTGAAGGTTCGAGTTGCCAAACGTCAGCCTCAAAACCTTAATGACTTGGAGAAGATCTGCAAAGAGGAGTGGAACAAAATCCCTCCTGAGATGTGTGCAAACCTGGTGGCCAACTACAAGAAACGTCTGACCTCTGTGATTGCCAACAAGGGTTTTGCCACCAATTACTAAGTAATGTTTTGCAGAGGGGTCAAATACTTACTTCCCTCATTAAAATGCAAATCATTTTATAACATTTTTGACATGCGTTTTTCTGTCTCTCACTGTTCAAATAAACCTACCATTAAAATTATAGACTGATCATGTCTTTGTCAGTGGGCAAACGTACAAAATCAGCAGGGGATCAAATACTTTTTTCCCTCACTGTATGCATCCCAAATGGCACCCTATTACCTAGTGCACAAATTCTGACCAGAGCCTAGGAAGTAGTGCACTATGTAAGGAATAGGGTGCCATTTGGGACGCAAGCCATGTGTCCAGAGAAGACTGAATTAACCTCGTAATGAAGGGCAGAGAAACAATCGAGCACTGGGAACGATTGACCTGTGGTGAGGTCATGGCAACTACCCTCCCCCAAAACAACAACAGCAGCAGCAACATGTGAAAGTCAGGTCATTTTTATGGCAGCAGTGATGACACACCCGATATTAGCCAATACAACTCATGTGACGCTCACTGTGCCATCAACAGGTTGACGATACAACAGTCAGTGAGTAGCTACAAGGACTAGATTCCACAGGTATTGACTAGGTTGACTGATTGATTGATTGATTGATTGATCGGGGAAGGGGGTCCCTGCGCGCACAACCCACATGGAGTTCCAGGTCTCCGGCAGCCTCTGGAACTGCCGTTCTGCGGCCAACAAGGCAGAATTCATCTCAGCCTGTGCTACCCTCCAGTCCCTCGACTTCTTGGCACTAACGGAAACATGGATTACCACAGAAAACACTGCTACTCCTACTGCTCTTTCCTCGTCTGATCATGTGTTCTCGCATACCCAGAGAGCATCTGGTTAGCGCGGCGGTGGCACAGGAATCCTCATCTCTCCCAAGTGGACATTCTCTCTTTTCCCCCTGACCCATCTGTCTTTCTCCTCATTTGAATTCCATGCTGTCACAGTCACTAGCCCATTCAAGCTTAACATCCTTATCATTTATCGCCCTCCAGGTTCCCTTGGAGAGTTCATCAATGAGCTTGACGCCTTGATAAGTTCCTTTCCTGAGGATGGCTCACCCCTCACAGTTCTGGGTGACTTTAAACTCCCTACGTCTGCCTTTGACTCATTTCTCTCTGCCTCCTCCTTTCCACTCCTTTCCTCTTTTGACCTCACCCTCTCACCGTCCCCCCCTACTCACAAGGCAGGCAATACGCTTGACCTCATCTTTACTAGATGCTGTTCTTCTACTAATCTCACTGCAACTCCCCTCCAAGTCTCCGACCACTACTTTGTATCCTTCTCTCTCGCTCTCCTCCAACACTACTCACTCTGCCCCTACTCAGATGGTAATGTGCCGTCACAACCTTCGCTCTCTCTCTCCCGCTACTCTCTCCTCCTCCATCCTATCAGCTCTTCCCTCTGCTAAATCCTTCTCCCTCCGATCTCCTGATTCTGCCTCCTCAACCCTCCTCTCCTCCCTTTCTGCATCTTTTGACTCTCTATGTCCCCTATCCTTCCGGCCGGCTCAGTCCTCCCCTCCTGCTCCGTGGCGGAATGGAGGAAAATGGAGGAAAACTAGACTCCCTGCGGACCTGGCATCTTTTCACTCCCTCCTCTCCACATTTTCTTCCTCTGTTTCTGCTGCTAAAGCCACTTTCTACCACTCTAAATTTCAAGCATCTGCCTCTAACCCTAGGAAGCTCTTTGCCACCTTCTCCTCCCTGCTGAATCCTCCTCCCTCTCTGTGGATGACTTCATCAACCATTTTGAAAAGAAGGTTGACGACATCAGATCCTAATTTATTAAGTCAAATGACACCGCTGGTCCTGCTCACACTGCCCTACCCTATGCTTTGACTTCTTTCTCCCCTCTCTCTCCAGATGAAATCTTGCGACTTGTGACGGCAGGCTGCCCAACAACCTGCCCGCTTGACTCTATCCCCTCCTCTCTTCTCCAGACCATTTCCGGAGACCTACTCCCTTACCTCACCTCGCTCATCAACTCATCCTTGACCGCTGGCTATGTCCCTTCCGTCTTCAAGAGAGCGAGAGTTGCACCCCTCCTCAAAAAACCTACACTCGATCCCTCCGATGTCAACAACTACAGACCAGTAGCCCTTCTTTATTTTCTCTCCAAAACTCTTGAGCGTGCCGTCTCTTGCCAACTCTCCTGCTATCTCTCTCAGAATGATCTTCTTGATCCAAACCAGTCAGGTTTCAAGACTGGTCATTCAACTGAGACTGCTCTTCTCTGTGTCACGGAGGCTCTCCGCACTGCTAAAGCTAACTCTCTCTCCTCTGATCCTTCTAGACCCATCTGTTGCCTTTGATACTGTGAACCATCAGATCCTCCTCTCCACCCTCTCCGAGTTGGGCATCTACGGCGCTGCTCACTCTTGGATTGCGTCCTACCTGACAGGTCGCTCCTACCAGGTGGCATGGCGAGAATCTGTCTCCGCACCACATGCTCTCACCCACTGGTGTCCCCCAGGGCTCAGTTCTAGGCCTTCTCCTATTCTCTCTATACACCAAGTCACTTGGCTCTGTCATATCCTCACATGGTCTCTCCTATCATTGCTACGCAGACGACACACAATTCATTTTCTCCTTTCCCCCTTCTGATAACCAGGTGGCGAATCGCATCTCTGCATGTCTGGCAGACATATCAATGTGGATCTCAGATCACCACCTCAAGCTGAACCTCGGCAAGATGGAGCTGCCCTTCCTCCCGGGGAAGGACTGCCCGCTCCATGATCTCGCCATCACGGTTGACAACTCCATTGTGTCCTCCTCCCAGAGTGCAAAGAACCTTGGCGTGACCCTGGACAACACCCTGTCGTTCTCCATTAACAACAAAGCGGTGACCCAATCCTGCAGGTTCATGCTCTACAACATTCGCAGAGTACGACCCTACCTTACACAGAAAGCGGCACAGGTCCTAATCCAGGCACTTGTCATCTCCCGTCTGGATTACTGCAACTCGCTATTGGCTGGGCTCCCTGCCTGTGCCATCAAACCCCTACAACTTATCTAGAACGCTGCAGCCCGTCTGGTGTTCAACCTTCCCAAGTTCTCTGATGTCACCCCGCTCCTCCGTACACTCCACTGGCTTCCAGTTGAGGCTCGCATCTACTACAAAACCATGGTGCTTGCCTACGGAGCTGTGAGGGGAACAGCACCTCCTTACCTTCAGGCTCTGATCAGACCCTACACCCAAACGAGGGCACTACGTTCATCCACCTCTGGTCTGCTAGCCCCCCTACCTCTACGGAAGCCCAGTTCCCACTCAGCCCAGTCAAAGCTATTCGCTGCTCTGGCACCCCAATTGGTGGAACAAGCTCCCCCACGACGCCAGGACAGCGGAGTCACTGACCACCTTCCAGAGACACTTGAAACACTACCTCTTTAAGGAATACCTGGAATAGTATAACACCCCCCCATTAAAAAAATAATAATAAGAAATTAATATAAAAAAAATTAAATAATAATAATAATAAAAATAGGGTGGTTGTCCCACTGGCTATCCTAAATTGAATGCACCAATCTGTAAGTCGCTCTGGATAAGAGCGTCTGCTAAATGACTTAAATGTAAATATGAAAAAGGGGGATGGTCAGTGGTCAGTTTTCCTACCCGGCGGACACCACCCTGGCCAGGTCTCGCAGGTTGAGCTTGACGGAGGTGGTGAGGATGTAGCTGGGGTCCAGAGCCGGCTCCATCTCCCCCTGGGATACCCAGTAGCCCTCCATCTGAATGCAGGGCCGCCCTGTGGGCTCCGGGATGGGCTGTGGGGAAACACAGGGAGAACCATGGCTATTGAGGAATCTCCTATTGCGGAATTATTAAGCTTCTTCTTAATTATCCATATATCTCAATTAATACAAATATGGAATAAATAAAGTCATATTACAGGCCTGCTGTATTACCTGCTTCAGACACTTGGTGTTTCCCCCCATGATGTGTTGACACACCAGTTTCTGGACCATTGGATGGGAGCTGCGGTCCAGCTGGGTGAGGAAACTCAAACAGAAGCCCTGGAGAAAGACACCGATGGAGAATCTGCTCACATCTTCCAACATAGTCCAATTTAATCAATGAAGTTACTAAGGATATCAATGCATTCGGAAAGTATTCAGACCCCTAGACTTTTCCCACATTTGTTTTACGCTACAGCCTTGTTCTAAAACGGATTAAATTGTTTTCTTCCCTCATCAATCTACACACAATACCCCATTTCGACAAAGCAAAAACTGGTTTTTAGAAATGTTTGCAAATGTATAAAAAAAAAGAATAAAATAAATTGGATTACTGCCTTGAATCTTCTTGGGTATGACGCTACAAGATTGGCACACCTGTATTTGGGGAGTTTCTCCCATTCTTCTCTGTAGATCCTCTCAAGCTCTGTCAGGTTGGATGGGCAGCTATTTTCAGGACTCGCCAGAGATGTTCGATCGGGTTCAAGTCCGGGCTCTGGCTAGGCCACTCAAGGACATTCAGAGACCTGTCCCGAACACACTCCTGCGTTGTCTTAGCTGTGTGCTTAGGGTCGTTGTCCTGATGGAAGGTGAACCTTCGCCCAGTCTGAGGTCCTGAGTGCTCTGGAGTAGGTTTTCATCAAGGATCTCTCTGTACTTTGCTCCGCTCATCTTTCCCTCGATCCTGACTAGTCTCCCAGTCCCTGCCGCTGAAAAACATCCCCACAGCATGATGCTGCCACCACCATGCTTCACCGTAGGGATGGTGCCAGGTTTCCTCCGACGTGACGCTTGGCATTCAGGCCAAAGAGTTCAATCTTGGTTTCATCAGACCAGAGAATCTTGATTCTCATGGTCTGAGAGTCCTTTAGGTACCTTTTGGCAAACTCCAAGCGGGCTGTCATGTGCCTTTTACAGAGGAGTGGCTTCCGTCTGGCCACTCTACCATAAAGGCCTGATTGGTGGAGTGCTGCAGAGATGTTTGTCCTTCTGGAAGGTTCTCCCATCTCCACAGAGGAACTCTGGAGCTCTGTCCGAGTGACCATTGGGTTCTTGGTCACCTCCCTGACAAAGGCCCTTCTCCCCCGATTGCTCAGTTTGGCCCGGGCGGCCAGCTCTAGGAAGAGTCTTGGTGGTTTCAAACAGCTTCCATTTAAGAATGATGGAGGCCACTGTGTTCTTGTGGACCTTCAATGCTACAGAAATGTTTTGTTTTGGTACCCTTCCCCAGATCTGTGTCTCGGAGCTCTACGGACAATGCCTTCGACCTCATGGTTTGGTATTTGCTCTGACATGCACTTTCAACTGTGGGACCTTATATAGACAGGTGTGTGCCTTTCCAATCAATTGAATTTACCACAGGTGGACTCCAATCAAGTTGTAGAAACATCTCAAGGATGATCAATGGAAACAGGATGCACCTGAGCTCAATATCGAGTCTCATAGCAAAGGGTCTGAATACTTACGTAAACAAGGTTTCTGTTTTTTTTTTTTTAAATAAATTTGCAAAAATAAATAAAAACCTGTTTTCGTTTCGTCATTATGGGGTATTGTGTGTAGATTGATGAGATAATAAAAAAAATCCATTTTAGAATAAGGCTGTAACGTAACAAAATGTGGAAGAAGTCAAGAGGTCTGAATACTTTCCGAATGCACTGTATCTTTATTAAGTCAATATAAGGATATCAATATCAATGCTGGGAGAGCTTTGGCCTCCTACCTCGTAGAGAGAGCGCTGGACGCTGTAGCAGGGGTTGGCTGCCACATACTTCAGCGCCCTGCAGAGGGTGCGCAGGCTGTAGTGGGGATGGTGTCCAGTCCCGTCCACCAGTTTGGAGGTAGCCTCCTTACGCACCGTCAGGTAAAAGCTGCAGCAGCAAACATTTCATATTCAATCAAATCAGCAATCAATATGACATTCAACGTGATTTTGTGAAAACTTAATGGGCCATGTTATGGCTATGACAGAGGACAGTGTGTGTTCTGACCCCTGACCTTATAATCCCGTTGATTACGTTCTTATTGGGGTTCAGGCCTTTCAGGTAGTCAGACACCAGGATGTGCAGGTCTCCCTCATTCTCCAGCTCCTCCACATACAGCTCAGTGAACCTGGGAAAGACAGAGAGCATCATGTCAAACCACAGCTAGTAGGGTTGCCAGATCCTGACAGCTAGTTGGGTTGGCAGATGCTGACAGCTAGTTGGGTTGGCAGATACAGAACAGCTAGTTGGGCTGCCAGATCCTGATCAGCTAGTTGGGCTGCCAGATCCTGATCAGCTAGTTGGGCTGCCAGATCCTGATCAGCTAGTTGGGCTGCCAGATCCTGATCAGCTAGTTGGGCTGCCAGATCCTGATCAGCTAGTTGGGCTGCCAGATCCTGATCAGCTAGTTGGGCTGCCAGATCCTGAACAGCTAGTTGGGCTGCCAGATCCTGAACAGCTAGTAGGTTTGCCAGTATGCTCATAAGTTAAAGACATTTCAGTCAAACACCAGGACAGCTCAGCCTATGTTCTAACCTGTTCCGTATGCCCAGGGGCAGGTTCCTCTTCCCCACGTCAGTCGCTGGGTTCATGCAGGCAAAGAGACGGAAGTCTGGATGGCGAACCAGGGGCTCTGTGCAAAGAAAGTTTAATTTCAGTAGCAGCATCAAAGTGATCAGATTTCATAATCAGTTAATACCTTTATAATATAATTTATAATAATATGCAATTTATTATGCAATAGTGGTATAAAGTATGAAAATGTATGCACTCACTAACTGTAAGTCACTCTGGATAAGAGCTTCTGCTAAATGACTAAAATGTAAAAATGTAATAAAGTGTTACAACATGTCATAACATGCTATGGAGCGCAGTGGGAGCCTCACCAGTGTCTCCGCGGTCCAGCAGCACCAGAGAGCCGGCGGTGCCCTCAAGCAGGCCACTCAGACATTCCAGAGTCTCTGCTGCAGCCAGGTTAATCTCATCCAGCAGGATCCACTCTCCCTTCTTCACCGCCTGGGCCAGAGTCCCCTGTAGAGACACACACGGTTTACAATCACAGCGGGTTGGTGAGCAACAGGGATATGTAGTGTGTGTGTGGCTTTAGGTAGGCCTTTACCTCCACAAAGGCAAAGACCAGTGCGGTCTCGCAGGCTCTGATCTGCTGCTGGGTCTGAGCCAGCCTCACAGCCAGGGCTTCCCACTGCTCCTGCAGCAAGGCAGCTGGGGAAACCAGTACACAAAAACACACACACTGAGAACAGCCTAAGGCAACACTGACATTTCTGCCACAGTGAGAGTAGGAGTGAGCTATTCAAGAGAAAATGAAGGTACTGCTTTAGGTTGTTTTCCAAATGGCATCCTATTATCTATCTGCGGCACATACAGTGCCTTCAGAAAGTATTCACACCCCTTGGCTTTTTCCACATTCGGTTGTGTTACAGCCTGGATTTTAAATGGATTAAAGTTAGATTTTTTTTTGTCACTGGCCTACACACAATACCCCCATAATGTCAAAGTGGAATGAAAAGCTGAAATGTCTTGAGTCAATAAGTATTCAACCCCTTTGTTATGGTAAGCCTAAATAAGTTCAGGAGTAAAAATTTGCTTAACAAGTCACATAAATTAATGGACTCTGTGTGCAATAATAGTGTCTAACATGATTTTTGAAAGACTACCTCATCTCTCTACCTCACACATTCAATTATCTGTAAGGTCCCTCAGTCGAGCAGTGAATTTCAAACACAGATTCAACAACAAAGACCAGGGAGGTTTTTCAATGCCTAGCAAAGAAGGGCACCTATTGGTAGATAGGTAAAAAAATAAAGCAGGCAATGAATATCCCTTTGAGCATGGTGAAGTTATTAATTACACTTTGGATGGTGTATCAAAACACCCAGTCATTACAAAATACAGGCGTCCTTCCTAACTCAGTTGCCGGAGAGGAAGGAAACCGCTCAGGGATTTCACCATGAGGCCAATTCTAGAATTGAATGGCTGTGATAGGAGAAAACTGAGGATGGATCAACAACATTGTAGTTACTCCACAATACTAACCGAATTGACAGAGTGAAAAGAAGGAAGCCTGTACAGAATAAAAATATTCCAAAACATGCATCCTGTTTGCAACAATGCACTAAAGTAATAGTACAAAAAATGTGACAAAGCAATTAATTTTTTGTCCTGAATACAAAGTGTTATGTTTGGGTCAAATCCAATACTGAGTACCACTCTCCATATTTTCAAGCACAGTGGTGGCTGCTTCATGTTATGGATATGCTTGTAATCATTAAGGACTGGGGAGGTTTTCAGGATGAAAAATAAATGTAATAGGAGGTAAGCACAGGCATAATCCTAGAAAAAAACCTGGTTCAGTCTGCTTTCCACCAGACACTGGGAGATGAATTCACCTTTTAGCAGGACAATAACCTAAAACACAAGGCCAAATCTACACTGGAGTTGCTTACCAAGAAGGCAGTGAATGTTCCTGAGTGGCTGAGTTACAGTTTTGACTTAAATCTACTTGAAAATCTAGAAAAAAATCAAGATCTGGAAATGGTTGTCTAGCAATGATCAACAACCAATTTGATAGAGCTTGATTAAGTTTTTAAAGAATAAATGGGCAAATGTTGCACAATCCAGATGTGGCAAGTTCTTTGAGACTTACCCAGAAAGACTCACAGCTGTAATTGCTGCCAAAGGTGCTTCTACAGTATTGACTCAGGGGTGTGAATATTTATGTAAATTAGATATCTGTACTTCATTTTCAACAATCTGCTAAAAATGTCTAAAAACATGTTTTCACTTTGTCGTTATGGGGTATTGTGTGTAACAAAACATAATGTGGAATAAGTCAAGGGGTATGAATACTTTCTGAAGTGAATAAGGTGCCATTTGGGGATGCAAAGTGTGTGGTGGTACCATTGTTTTTCTCCTGCAGCTCCGACTTGCCGAGGGCTGACTTGCAGACGTGGTCCATGAGCTTGAGCAGGTCCTGCCATCGCTTGCCCCTGAAGCAGGTCTGCACGTGGCCCAGGAAGGTCAGATTCTGCTTGCGGGAGTAGGTCTGGGAGAACACGTCCTCGAAGGCCTCACGCAGGGGCAGCAGGATCAGCTTGTGATCCACTGGTTTATACCTGCAGATCAGGGAAGAGAATATGCCAACTCAGTACCAATGCAGGCCAGGGTCATATCCCTGTCTGAATATGCTGGTATAGGTGAAAGGTCATACAAGAAAAGGACTAGGTCTTCTATTGTAATTCACTTACCCTCCTAACAGGTCAGCTGTATCACTCTGCTGGTTCATATTCACCACCCGTAACCTGTGTCCTGGAGGAGAGAGTGAGAGGAGGGGAACAGAGGTGTTGGTTAGTGGGTTCCCATTGTACCATGTTTGAGAGGAGCTTTCTGGCAGAGCGTTGCGTCTCACCAGTGATTCCAGCCAGGTACTGCACAGTGGATGTCTTGCCCGTGCCCGTCTCTCCGACCAACAGGATGGGCTCGCCCTGGGTAACACACACCGCTAGCTGTTCCAAAAGCACTGCAGAGGGCCGCGTGGCAGCAAATGTCTGCTTCTCGCTGTACACATTGAGATACACATAGGTTAGGTTACTCTTTCACTCAATCTCAAATTTTACCTACAACACTTTCAACATGCATATACTTGAAACCAGGTCAAAAGATCTAATAATAATACATTCATCAACAAATATACAATTTTATTCCTCCCAATTGCAGATTTCCAAAGGTGCCTTTTCTCTTGTAGGGTTTTAGAGCATGGTAGAATAGATCTCATAGGTTTGGAATGGAAGAATCAATATATTGTTTTTAGTCATTTGCTGAGGACTGGAATATTTGCTGGTTTATCAAAGTGTGTAGTTAGAGATCAATTCAATGTTTATTCAATCAACCAACGGGGAGTCTATTTGGCTGGGTAAGTGTTAGGCCTGGCAAAGTGACAATGACGTCTATATTGTGTAAACAGAGGTTACAGGCAGACTGGCAGGGCTGGCAGCCTGACTCAGTGTGTTCCATAAGCGCCAGCTGCCAGCCAAATATCAGACTACTAACCCTGATGTGGCTGGGTACTTCATTTACTATAACAAATTGCAGTGCATCCGATGGCATCTAATTCGATTTAGGGTCACACATTTAGCTGACTTACTTGCAGATGCGGACCACTTCGTTCTGCTTCCGTTCCAGGGTCACTCTGCCCACCAAGGCCTCCAGTTCTGTCACAGAGATGCCAGGCTGGTACATCTGGCAGAAATGTGCAGCCTGAGGGGCACACGACCATAGAAATAAGAATGAATAGAACGGCTTGGAAGCTCGAACGTTAAAAATAAGAATGAATTAATTCATTCTTATTTCTATGCACACAACCATCATGTCAACAGTCAACAACCATCACCATGTCTGAGTCCAATATGACACCCATGGCAAACAGCACCCAAAGGGCTCTGGTCAAAAGTAGTGCACTATATAGGGAATAGAGTTCCATTTTGGACATGCTCCATGTCAGGAGACTGTAGAACATACAGCATGTCCTAAAGTGCGACAAAGTGGTACAGCAGTATTGAACCTGTTTTGATATGTTGTCAGCAGAGACCTGTCATTTCCAGTGATGCTGGACTTACCTTCTCTTTGGAGATGTTGAGCTTGCTCCCGATGACTTCAGCCATGCACAGCCTCCTCTCTGGTCGGGATAACATAGCTGTGAAGCAGTCTAGGGCCTAAAAGGGGAGAAAGACACAAAACAGTACAGTTAAGAAGAGCATTCTTTTTTTGGGAGGCAAATTGTTAAAAGTTTCTGAAACTGTTACAGCTACATTGATTTTCCATTCAAATATGGATTGTGCTAACCGAATGAATCTATCCTCAGTCCATTCTACACTAGCCTTGTTCAACCATCCTGATCCGTGGTCAGTTCTGGTTCACGAGGCTAACCATAAAGAGCAATGAAAAAGTGTTGAACACATCGAGCCCTTTTACGGCTAAAGGATTTTCCATCCTAACAAAGATTAGGTGATAACCTTACCAGAGTCTAACCTTGCCAGTTCTACATAGCCACACAGAGTTCTAAGAGACAAGTTCAGAATGATCTGTGGTGAACAACAACAGTTCAAGCCGGAAAGCTTCATTAGCAAAGTAAATAATGTCAGGAGGGTGATAACACCACAATGGCAGCCTGTGCTGCTGTGACTCAAGGCTCACCTCCAAGAAGACATGTTGAGCGGTGGCAGACGATGTGCTGTCAAAGTTACTGCTGATCCTCTCAGACCATTTCAGCAGGTCTCTGTACAATATAGAGTAGAGGTTACATCAGGGCTCTCCAACTCTGTTCCTGGACAGCTACCCTCCTGTAGCGTTTCACTCCAACCCCAGTTGGAAATAACCCGATTCAGTTTATTAACCAGCATATTATTAGAACATGGAGCGCTAGATTAAGGTTGGAGTGAAAACCTACAGGATCGTAGCTCTCCAGGAACAGGGTTGGAGAGTCATGGGTTACATAAATATGGCAATGATAGACAGAGGAGTTGGCTTAAGGACCAGGTTACATTTTCCATCAATGACTGGAGAAAATAATCAGGTGAGAAACAGTTGATCCAATAGGGCCAACCATTCTGTTCTGACCTACATAAGAGCTCAGCAGGCCAAGTTTTAAACGCAAATGAAAACAACATTCAGTATGTAAGTTAACTGCATTGATACATGCAGCTATACTATGATTATCAAAGTGGCCCACAGTGGCCGTATTAAAAAACGTGCACAAAAATGGATTTTACACCAAGGAAAAAGCCCTGAGCCCAACACGTGCACACAGGTATATACAGTATGAACCCTTAAAGATGGGTGAACAACGAGTGTCCTCCACAAATGAGGGGAACAGGTCTGAACTGGTTATCTAATGATAAGGGCTGTCCTGATGTAACGTCTAGCATCTGTGGATCAAGCTCTATAGAAAAGAACGGTTCAATCAATGGGCCATCGAGCGCAGGCAGCAGCACCCAGTGGAAAGCTAATTAAAGTCCTGAGGGCTGGCTGCCTGTTCATTTCATCTCACAGTGGGCCAGTGCAGCTCCTAATGTATACCCCACAACCCACCTCTGCTCTGGGACACATGGTGGGATGGATGGGGCCAGTGGATTTACAGTGAGGGGAAAAAGTATTTGATCCCCTGCTGATTTTGCCCACTGACAAAGACATGATCAGTCTATAATTGTAATGGTAGGTTTATTTGTACAGTGAGAGACAGAATAACAACAAAAAAATCCAGAAAAACACATATCAAAAATGTTATAACTGTACCCCTCTACAAAACATGACTTAGTACTTGGTGGCAAAACCCTTGTTGGCAATCACAGAGGTCAGACGTTTCTTGTAGTTGGCCACCAGGTTTGCACACATCTCAGGAGGGATTTTGTTCCACTCCTCTTTGCAGATCTTCTCCAAGTCATTAAGGTTTCGAGGCTGACGTTTGGCAACTCTAACCTTCAGCTCCCTCCACAGATTTTCTATGGGATTAAGGTCTGAAGACTGGCTAGGCCACTCCAGGACCTTAATGTGCTTCTTCTTGAGCCCCTCCTTTGTTGCCTTGGCCGTGTGTTTTGGGTCATTGTCATGCTGGAATACCCATCCACGACCCATTTTCAATGCCCTGGCTGAGGGAAGGAGGTTCTCACCCAAGATTTGACGGTACATGGCCCCATCCATCGTCCCTTTGATGCGGTGAAGTTGTCCTGTCCCCTTAGCAGAAAAACACCCCCAAAGCATAATGTTTCCACCTCCATGATTGACGTTGGGGATGGTGTTCTTGGGGTCATAGGCAGCATTCCTCCTCCTCCAAACACGGCGAGTTGAGTTGATGCCAAAGAGCTCCATTTTGGTCTCATCTGACCACAACACTAGTTGTGGGCAAACGTACAAAATCAGCAGGGGATCAAATACTTTTTTCCCTCACTGTACCTCTATCTGGGGCTTGACCATTACTGTGGATCTGAGCAGCTAGGGAATCATGGCTATGAGTTCATCACCAGTTCATATTGACAGAGAGACAGTGTCATCTTTCAATGCAGGGGGGGGGGGGGGGGGGGATATTGTGTATAGACACCTATGGTGGGAATGAGCTTCAACATGTACCATGAGAGAACATAAAAAAATAGCTCATTGCAACAACATGAGACAGAAAAGCTAAAAGTAAAAAAGGGGGGGGAAGCTGAAAATAAGAGCGTGCCATTACCTCAGTGACAGTCCCCTCCCCTCCAGGGACGTGGTCTTGTCCTCCAACCTGTGATGGGACACCTCTGGGGCATGCAGACTGTCTGTGTGGCCCAGTGCCACCGAGTCAGGGTGTCTCTCTCCAGTCAGCTGGCAGTAGATGTCCAGGAGGCGCTCCACCACAACCGTTAGGTTAGGGTACCGGTTCACCAGCACCTGCACAGGCAAAGAACAACAGTTAAAGTTAAAGAGAGATTGAAAGATAATTAAAACAATGCTTCAATTGAAAATCGTGTCCAAGTTTACACAGGCAAAGAACAATACGACTGTTAGCTTCAGGAACTTCGTTAGCAAGACAAAACCGGATACAAAGTACAATGCATTTTGGATACTGTAGTACATCATGCTAGAAAAAATACACTTGAAACAGAGGATACACTGGTCCAACTATAGACTACAGGAAATTGATGTGGACTCCATTGGATCATGTCCTCAAACGGCTCACCTTTTTCAGTTCCTCTCGTGCCATGTTTCCCATCTGTAGTTTAGTCCAGTACTTATCCAAGAGAGCTGCGTGGGTGTTCTGTGGTCTGTACCAGCCTCCGGCACTATGGAACATTCTACACATACACACAAACATCAGTTATTTTCTGTGTAAAAGGAGGATGACATTTATAGGGTTACACATAGGCCACATCACAACCAAATCACATTCTTACCTTCTCGTAGCAAAGAATTGGAAGCCTGGAGCCACTTCAATGCAGTCCTCCCGTCCTGGGATCATCAGCTTTTTATTCTCCATCAAGGGAAGGAGTACAGATATCTGCAAGGAAAACAACTCAAATGATGACGTACTATAAAATACCTTGTAGTCTTGAACCCACTACTACAGTAATAACTATATTAACAGGTCACTGTATGTAATTCCATGCATGATTCAGGTGTGCAAACACCCACCACATCCAGAGGAGCATGGTCAATGTCCTCCAACAGGATCCAATGTCCTTTAGAGACGGCCTGTGTCAGGGTGCCTGGCTGCCACACAAACTTCCCTGGGATATCAGTACAGCGATACATCCCAAGCAACATCTGCAATAAAGCAGCAAAGAGATAAGAGAATTCCTATTAACCGTTCAAAAACAGTAGAATGCACTCAGACGTCGACGCTAGTATTTTTGAACTCTTTCTACAATAACCCATTTTGAAATATATACTATATAGATTGCCTACATTGGATCAGTGCTCTTACTTTGCTGTCAGTTTGATCCCCAAGTTGGACTTTGAGAATCTCTGGTGTTTTGGTATGTCCGGTCACGGCAGCCAAAAATTCCACCAGGGCTGTTTTACCACAACCAATGGGCCCTTCCAAAAGAACAGCCTTCTGGGATGCCACAGCCATGGCCAGTCTCCGCAGGTTGCGGCAGGTTGAGTCCACTAGCACCAGATGCTTTAGGTTACTCTAGAGTTGGTAAGAGAACAAATATAATGCCACCTATCAAATCAACACCACTGATGTAGTTTGAACCATTTATTCCATACTCTTTTACAAACAACCAAACTCTAAATCTAAGCAGGAAGTCGTTAGCCTGGGTGCCAGTCTGTTTCTGCTCTTCTGCCAACTCCTAATGGAATTGTCATGCCAAAATAGCTTGCCAATGACAATGGAGTAGGCAAAAGCACAAACAGATCTGGGACCAGGCTAGGAAGTCTTACCTGCTCTGTCTGTTTTGGGGCGATCCTAGGTAACACCACCCCACAGACGGCCACCACGGTCTGGGACAGGTCCTCTGACACCACCTGGCCCCGGGTGAACTTGTTCACCTTCTCCTGGCGCCACATCACAGTGCCCTGGTTAGCCAGGACCAGGGCCTTCTCTACTTCCAACTGCTGAGTCTCCTCCAGTGACCTGTGTGTTTATAAGCCAATACAAGCAAAGGTTATAAACTGAACATTGCATTAATTTCTGCAATCTGTGAAGACATGCGAGTCTACATTTGAGTTTACAATGTGTGAATTACAATAACATGAAAAAACATTTATTCATAAATCTCAATCAACTTCCACCAATCGTCAACAACGTTCAAAATCAGTCCAATAGAAATGTACATACTTTATCTTCATGTGCAGAATCTCATCACTCGACAGCACCTTTCTCAAGAAGATGGTTTTCTGATTATCAGTCATGTGAGACACCAGGGCCAGACACTGGGCAGTGTAACTAAACAGGAAAGAATCCAGAAGATCACTACGCTTGACTTCACATGAATACAGCCAGTTGTAAAAGCATCAATCAAAGCATCCAGCTTGTTTCTGTAGCGTGAGGCAGCTTGATGTATAATTACACTCCTGGACAGGACGCTAGTCTGTCATAGGGCCTGAGAGAGAATAGATACTGAGGAAATGGTAGACAAGGTAAATACACACCCTCGAACCATGACATCGCTGGTGAGTAGCTGAGATACACAGGCACTCCAGTCCCAGAGGACACGGAACTTGGCACAGTCGCTCTGGAGTAAGCGGAGAGTAGCGCCCATCAGGTCCCGCAGTTTCATCCTCCTGGGGCCGTACTGGACAGACGAGGACTCTTCACTGGTGAAGAAGAGCCTCTGGAACACTGGAGGGGCATCGTTGAAGTACCTCGCAGCAAACCTGATAATGAGGAAAGTGCAACAGATGTTGTTAGAAGTAGTGGTTGATGTGGGCCAGTGGTGATCAGTAGTACAGAGTATTTTCTACTGCTTGAATACGGGCCTTTCTTATAGAATATTAATAATAATCCTCTAAAATACAAACACTGATACAGTAAAATATAAAGTGAGCATTGGCAGCTTTTTCATGCCACTTCAAGCCCTTAGAAGAGAATGGAAAAAATAGCTAGTGTTTATGAAGTGTCTGTCCGGCATGCCTAATGATCAGTGATCATGCAGGGTTCACTACTTACGCCTGTGCATCAGGACTGACACTGAGGAGTTTGCTGAGCGCCACACACAGACGCTCGTGGAGATCATGGTTAATCCTGCCGTCTGCTTTGATCCTCTCTGCGTTCCTCTCCAGCAGGTCCAGGATCAGGGGCCGGAGGTGGCGGGCGAGCAGCAGAGTATAGTCCTTCTCCAACAGCAGCTGAGCCAAACAAGCCAGGATGCTCTGTCTGTCCTGCTGGCTCCATATCTAGACAGAAAGCCATATCAGGAGAAAGTCAAGATTGACTATAGGCGAGTCAAGATTGACTATAGGCAAGTAAAGGCAAGCGTGGGCTATGTCTACACCCTCCAATCTCAAGGGACATCCATCAATGTCATGTAAATAACTTCCTGAACAAAGAACATTTTAATTAGGTCACATTTGCATTTATTATGATGGTGTGTAGGCGTAGTGCAATTGTTTGGATTGTAAATAGACATAAATGCACATTTAAAAGAGGGTGTAAAATGCACGTGCACATATAGGGTGCATCACTTATCACTAGGTCAAAACAGACATATTACATACACTCTATTGTGTTTATAACACGTCAAGGAGAAATGTGTCTTACCTGTTTTGCTAAATACTTGCTGAGTTCGTTGTGACTTTTGTCAATATGTCTGGATATGGTACCCAGTGATGACAGGCTCAATTCTAAATTTTCCATCGTACCATTTGTCGTTTAGGCAAGAGAGATCCACAGCGAAATTTGCGATAATCTATAAAGACTGTAATATGTTGTTATATTATTCGTTGACCAAATCGTGAGGTACATCACTTGCTTGTCTGTCTAGATTGTACCACAACACAGTAAGCACGTTCCCGTCACTGTTAAAATCCAGTCCACATGTGAGTAAATCAGAAACACTTCCGGGTCGATTGTCCAAATGATGTCGCTTAGATGACGCAATTGGAAGCGACAGTCATACATTGCTTCATGATTTTCAGGTCAAATATAACCTATGACACCTAGTTTTTTCATAAAGCACAATATTTGTCATTTACCGATTGATGGATATTTTCCATAGTGAACCCCTCCTCCCGGGTCCCGAACTAGCTTAGACCACACAGCTAGCTAGCTAAATGGCAAACTTTTTGAAGTCTGAAGCTGTGGTTTCCTTAGATAAGAAAGTGCTTTATCGGAAATGATCTAGCTGCTTTGTATTAGTTTGGCCTAAACCACAGGCTGCTTCGTTTGATATGATAATTGTATTTTGAATGCCTGAAAGTCCCGGAAGAGCCACTGGCATCTGTTTTGCAGACCGCGGGAAAATGTAGTTATTTCCTGCTCCCTGAAAAAGGTCGTAGGGTTGGCGCGACAGTGAAAGTAAACAGATGAAGCATAATAATAACATTCTAAACCACATTCTTCTACTCGATTTTCATATGGTGAGTGGAATTGTTTTTTTCCTTCACATTTCAAGCTATTTTCATAGTCAATGTTCCTCCATGTCTTGAGTTTGTAGCTAGCTAGGTAACTTAAGCTTGTAGGTCCCATACTAACGTTAACTATCTAAATAAACTAACTGGCTTGCTAGCTTGTTGTGTCAGTTAGTTAGCTAAAATGTGCTGATGCCTGGGGCTGTGTTTGCTATTATATCCCTTGGTGTATGTACAAGGAGCCGATATAGCTAATTTAGCTTGCTCAATGAACTAGTTAGCTACACATTATTGTTTTGTAGTAAGTTAACGTAGCTAACAGTAAATGGCTGGATAGCTAGCACAGCCAGAGTGAACTAGCTAGCTACAAGCAGCTAGTTAAAATGTTTTGGATACACTTAGCTGATATTAGAAAGCTTACTGCGAATTATAGGAGTTAGTTACTGTAGCTAGTTGTGTGATCATGCTACAGGCTACTTCCTTCAAAAGCCAGGCATTAGTCTAAAAGGTCCAATTGTTTTGTTGATTACTTTTACTATCTAGCTACCTCACCACTCTCAAAAATATCTGGGCTCACTTTCAATTGCAAGCATGTCATATTAGCTAACTATGCATCGTTTCTTCCAGCTACTTCCAGGTGCATCTCAGAGCCATTGATTGACCATCAGGAGAATGGAGGGGGATTTGATGGATGAAGTGTATGGTGACCTTAGCCAAGACAACCGCAGTGAGTACAATGCTATATAGATATAGCCTATTTCTCTTTAACACTGTCCATAGATGGGACATACTCTTTTCACGCAACTTCGATAGGAAGTGATTTTCGTAGCAGGTTAGGAGAGCATTTTTGCTAACCCTTTTCCTAACCTTAACCTCAGTCTCCTAACCTGCTATGTTCATTCTCCTAATCTGCTGCTTAAATTCTCTTAACCTGCTACGAAAAAGTAACTTCGGTTACGAAGTGGCGTGAAAATAGTGTTTTAGATAGTGGGTCCTGAAAGACATGCCATAACTTTCCTAAAGTAGTTTCTGCCGTTCTGCTGTCCTGTCACAAAGCACTGTTATTGAAAGTATGAATTATCAACATTTCTCGTGTATGGCTCTACAGTAGTCCTGATTTTATGCACTCAAAGAAAATTTACAAACCTGTGTTATGTTGATTCCTTATTACACTGGCATTCTGTAATAATAGAAGGCCTTTCTACAGTAATGTCATTCCATGTGATGAAATTACAGCAGTGCAATTACAGCAGTGTAACTTTGCAAAACTTCTACCACACAGAAATGGTGGAAGCTTTCGATGAAGATTCTGTGGATATTTATTCTGGTTTGGAAAGTCCAAGTCCGAGGATTTATCCAAATGCAGGTAAATATCACTCAAACATACACATTGGTTCTTCACAAGATGGTCTGAGTCGGATATATATTTTTAGAAGTAGAAAATATATCCATGTTGTTGTTCTCTCAGAATATAACTGATAATATACACTACCGTTCAAAAGTTTGGTGTCACTTAGAAATGTCCTTGTTTTCCAAAGAAAATCATTTTTTTTGTCCATTAAAATAACATCAAATTGATCAGAAATACAGTGTAGACATTGTTAATGTTGTAAATGGCTATTGTAGCTGGAAATGACTGATTTTTAATGGAATATCTACATAGGCGTACAGAGGCCCGTTATCAGCAACCATCAGTCCTGTGTTCCAATGGCATGTTGTGTTTGCTAATCCAAGTTTATAATTTTAAAAGACTAATTGATCATTAGAAAACCCTTTTGCAATTATGTTAGCACAGCTGAAAACTGTTGTGCTGATTAAAGAAGCAATAAAACTGGCCTTCTTGAGACTAGTTGAGTATCTGGAGCATCAGCAATTGTGGGTTTCGATTACAGGCTCAAAATGGCCAGAAACAAATCACTTTCTTCTGAAACTCGTCAGTCTATTCTTGTTCTAAGAAATGAAGGCTATTCCATACGAGAAATTGCCAAGAAACTGAAGATCTCGTACAACGCTGTGTACTACTCCCTTCACAGAACAGCGGAGGAGTGGGAGGCCCCGGTGCACAACTGAGCAAGAGGACAACTTCTAGGCAGAGTTGCAAAGAAAAAGCCATATCTCAGACTGCTATCTTCATCTTTTCTTTTTATTGGCCAGTCTGAGATGACTTTTTCTTTGCAACTCTGCCTAGAAGGTCAGCATCCCGGAGTCGCCTCTTCACTGTTGACGTTGAGACTGGTGTTTTGCGGGTACTATTTAGTGAAGCTGCCAGTTGAGGACTTGTGAGGCGCCTGTTTCTCAAACTAGACACTAATGTATTTGTCCGCTTGCTCAGTTGTGCACCGAGGCCTCCCACTTATCTTTCTATTCTGGTTAGAGCCAGTTTGCGCTGTTCTGTGAAGGGAGTAGTACACAGCGTTGTACCAGCTGTGCTAACATAATTGCAAAAGGGTTTTCTAATGATCAATTAGCCTTTTAAAATGAAAAACTTGGATTAGCAAACACAACGTGCCATTGGAGCACAGGACTGATGGTTGCTGATAATGGGCCTCTGTACGCCTAGGGAGATATTCCATAAAAAATCAGCCGTTTCCAGCTACAATAGCCATTTACAACATTAACAATGTCTACACTGTATTTCTGATCAATTTGATGTTATTTTAATGGACAAAAAAATGAATTTCTAAGTGACCCCAAACTTTTGAACGGTAGTGTAGCCTACTTCACATTTGTGTAATCTTATTACAGAGAGAAACTGCACACTCCTCTCACCACGGAATCTGAAATCTATGGATTTATATGAAGAAATCATAACAGAGGAACAGCAGGATAAAGACTCTTCCTACAATGAGGTTTGTACTGTAATCCTTATCCAATTCATGTGTGCATTTTCTTTTTGTCTTTGCTTTGTCTAAAATGGAATGCTGTTCATCACTGATAGACAGTTCCTGTTAGAACTGAATAACTAACCATCAGTACCTCTATCTCATTACAGTTGAGGACAAGATACAATGCAGCACAAAGCCAAGTTGAAGAGTTACTTAGGCGGTTGCAGCTGATTGAAACACAGGTTTGTAATAGAAAGTTTTAAGTGTCACTCATGTATTAGTAGTACCCCTTGAAATATGAGGTGCATAAAAGTACTTGAAATATTTTTACAAGAATACATTTGATAAATCACATAGCATTTACTTGAATTTGAACATTATATATTTTTTAATGTATTTCCCTCTGAAAATCATTTGTGATTCTCTGTGGGTGATAGTGCTGAGCGATTAACCAACATTGGAGTTATTTGAAGGTTTATAAACAACTAATTGACAAGACCTTGGTTCAATTATTAGAATTTCTTTTTTTCCTTTTTTGTAAGCTCAATGCTCACATTGTTTCTCAAGAGATAAATCGAATCAAGACCGAACTGTGCGATGTAGTAGGGAGTTGTAGTTTCCAACAGGCCAATATTCTGAGAGAGAGAGAGAGAGAGAGAGAGAGAGAGAGAGAGAGAGAGAGAGAGAGAGATAGAGAGATAGAGAAGAGAGAGATGATCGAGATAGAGAGAGAGAGAGAGAGAGAGATGAAGAGAGATAATAGGAGACGATGAGAGTAACCCCCGAAGAGATAGGAATAGAGATCCTAGCTAGCTCCCCACTAGTGGGTGTTGAAAAGGCTAAATGGACAAATGATTGCATTCTTTATCTTATTTACACTTACTGTATGTGGTTGAGATGTTGTGTATCAAAAATGTATGCACTCACTAACTGTAAGTCGCTCTGGATAAGAGCGTCTGCTAAATGACAAAAAATGTAAATGTGTTGTAATTTTGAAGAATACATCGCTGAACACTGAGAACAGCCGTCTGAAGAAGAACATCTGTGCGTTCATCAAAACAGCTAAAATGGAGGTTGTGCGGAAGGACGAGGAGATAAATAGGTTGAGCCAAAGGTAAGTGTCTTGACCCTTCATACTTCAGATACACCTGTGAAGTGGTAACTCGTAATTGGCAGGGTACATCAAATAAACAGTTATTTAGGGATGTACATACATTTTCTACGTATCCATTAGATGGGATAATTTCTGTGAATCTAGGCATGTGAGTAATTTATGTTCAAACTTTTAGTTTCAGGCCAGGGAGAGGTCCTGCTGCTCACCATCAATCTCAGATGAACTGCTTGAAAAATCAAGTTCCAGCTGGACAGAATCCTACGGGTCCTCCTCCACCAACCCAATCACCGGGACCTAGACAGGATTGTGTTGTAAAGGATCTTCGTCAGCTGCTACGTCAAGACAGAGATGTGGTCCTCCCCCCACCCCCCTCTGACGCAACAGTTTTCAGACCACCTCTTCCTGTCACGTCAAATACTTCTAGAGGTGATTCAGAAGCTCCAGTGAAACGCACATATTCTTCTGTTAGTAGTTCCAGCAAGGACTCCGTGAATAGACACCGTACACGTGAACTAGGCCCGTCAGACGAGCCAAAACAAACCAAGTACAGAGAAGGCAGAGGTGAAAATCCCAGGCTGTCCGAGTCAAAGGAGCAGCGACATAAAAACAGTCCAGATGTAAATAAGGAATCTCATTCAGATGAGAGGAACCGGTCACACAGAGCACAAAAAGATATTGGAAAATATGACTCTAAGTCAAACAGAAGCAGATACCTTCATCCCTCAGATGTTGAGGTACACAGGAGATCAGATAGGGCTAAAAGCCCACACTCAGACATTTTGCATTGCACTGCTTCCTCTTACCGTATGTCTACAGGATTGTCTAAAGACAGTGCAGACATTCAACCAAAAGGTTCTAGTTGGCATGATAAGGTGCTCAGCTGTGATAAGGATGACGCTAAGCGTAGTAGAAGTATCAAAGACATTTCCTCTAAAAACAGAAGGCATGCCTGTTCAAATCAAGCTAGTCTCACTAAACGATTCAGTGAATATTTTAATCGCAAGGGAGGGACAAGTCCTCCAAGGGACCACCGAAGGAAAGAGAGAAGAAGAGAGGATGAGATCAGAAAAGAAAAAAATAGATCAGGGGAAAAATCAGGAGAAAGAAAAAGCACTTGTACAGAGAGAAGAAAGGAGCGTGAGCGATGCAGTGCGGACGTCAGTAAGGACCAGAACATGGGCAACGGTAAAGTCAGGGAGCAAAAGACACATGAGGAATCTGAAGTGCTTCCACCTGAGGCCAAAGTGGCTGAGAAAAGCTCTAAAGAGGAAAACGGTCCAAACAGAAAGTTAAGTTTCATGGAAACTCTGAACCTCACCCTGTCACCAGTTAAAATTCCAAGACAGCCTGCTGAAGTCAAGGAACAGGAGGAGGGCACACCACCTGATGAGGTTCCTGAAGACCAGTCAGCGGAAGACAGTGGACAGCCTGATCTAGGAGAATTGCTTGTCTTAGACAAAATCAACAGTAGTGTAGTAGAGACCCATGAGGTCTTAATGAACCCAGTTGTACAGCCCTCTTCAGAAATCCCAACGCCTCCAGAACCTGAAAGTATGGAGAGTAGACATACAGAGAAAGAATCTTGTCAGGATGCTGAAAAGGCTCTGTCTGAGGCCACAGTAGCCAAAGAGCAACATAAGTGCCAGTTAGAAGTGGAAGACAGTACTGTCCAAGATGGCTCCGAAGAAAGGCCTGAGCTGTCCGAGGCCATAGAGGGTCAGAGGTCTAACCCCACCACACCAGAACTTATCAGGAAGGATTGTGTTTCAGCTCCAGACTGTGACATTGATTCGGAAACTCCACTGAAAAGCAGACTTGAAAAATGTGCCTCTGAAAGTAAAATTGGCACGTCTGAGGATTTAACTGCTACTGGTGTCACTGCGGCTACTACTACTGTCACTGAGAATTGTGGAAACAATTCAAATACCGACACTGGCCTATCTGCTAATGGATTTACCCCTAAACATTCAACTGTAGATTCAGTGGTTATTACTGACAATTGTGTGCATAAGTCCAACAGTGAAACTCCCAGTGCTTTGGTCTGTAAAAGCCAAGCTGTTGAAACTGTGACACAAGATCCACCTGCTGCTGTCTGTGTGGGACATCCTGCTGTTGAAGGTGGTCCAGGAAAACAAAAATCTGAATCTCTGCAATTATCACCCCTCGTTCAACCCGAGGGCCTTCAACAACAACTGCCTGTCTCCGTTATTTCTAATTCTAGTCTGGAGAAAGATGTGACAGAGGAGGTGCAAGATGTTTCCAAGGATGCTGTGTCCAGTACAATTAGAATGGACGTAGAGATCTGCATTACATCTGAGGTCATTACTGATGTCACAGAGATAACTGTGGAGTATGAGAAAGAGAAAACTGTTGTGGAACAAAGTTCACCGTTGAGCAGCATTGGGGTGTCTAAGGTGAGCAGCACCACCACAGGAGAGGTTGCGTCATCTGAACAGCACAACGGTGGTTTGGCAGAGACACTGAAGAAGTCCCTCAATTCTGAGCCAAGCTACACAGAGAATGAAGAGGAGAATGTTGAGCCCTCTAGCTCCATTCCGATGGCCCATGATGAGGACTCGATGATGCTCACACTGAGTAGCCTAAAAGTCATTCCACATGCCATAAGCCCACTCACAAGCCCAGTCCGCCCGATGAGGAAAAGCCAGCAGCTGCCATGTCACAGCAAACCTGCTTACGTCAAGAGTCTTCACAAAGGTAAGCATCACTTGGTATGGTTTAGTTGAACTATTTCTGTTCTAGGCTAAATGTTAAGAAAATGCAAAAGTATGTTGTTGTTAGCAATGTTCCCTCTAAGCTGCGTGCAGCTCCCCCGGGACTACCGAGCAGAATAAATATCAGCCCGCGCAGAGAAGCACGAGATTGAACTTCACTCAACTTTTAGAGTTTTCCCCATTAGTTAACACTATCAACGTTTCCCTTTACTGTAGGAATTGTGATCGAATCAAAGCGATATTAGACACTTTCAATGCAATATACCGAAACAACACGAACTATGCAAGAGATTTTGTTGTAGGCAGAGCGCATCGGAGTAGGATTCTATTGCATTGACAGGCACGACTCAGCCCGTACTCTACACAGACCGGTGCTCCATAACCAATCAGAGCTGCAGTAGGCCTATGTGCAATATTTTTAATTTAACTTGGCAAGTCAGTTAAGAACACATTTTTATTTACAATTAAGGCCTACCAAAAGGCAAAAGGCCTCCTGCGGGGACGGGGCTGGGATGAATAGACCATTGCAATGTATGGATTTGTGCCATTCACTTTGGACTGGACTGTTTTACAGCATGAGCGGTCGCAATTATTATGCACTTGTTTTGAGATCAAAGCGAGAGCTACATGTAGCCACGTGTGCACATTTGTCTTCACAGTAAATGCGCAGCGGAAGTTGCACAGAATTTTCTCAACGTTCAAGTTTGCACTCAGCAGACCTGAAATTTGCTCAGTGCCTAAATAAATTAGAGGGAACATTAGTTGTTTGGTAGGGTAAGCGTAGCTATTAACACTAGAACCACCATAGGCCAACGGCCTGATTTAGTAAATAAAAAAAATCAGCCAAATAAATAACACTGCGCATTTGTCCAAATTTTGAAATCACAAACAGAAAAGTATTTAGTATTTTTACCTGTTTTGTTTTTTTTCACACCTGTTTCTAACTTAACCCACAGAGACAATGTGCTGTAGGACGTTGGTACCCAGCCAGGCGCTAATGCGTCTATCTCTCCTCACTGAATCAATGACAAATGGATGAATGGGCGATAATTATGCACTTTACTTCACAATTTAATTTAAATTAGGCTTAACTGAATTATAAGGAGGGTGAAGAGGTAGATTTTAATTTAGAAAACAATAGTGTAATGATGAGTTTGTGTTAGGGCTGACCACAGTTATTTGACTGGTCAATTGTTTGGTCGATAGGCTGTTGGTCGACCAAGATGTATTTCTTTTTTTGTCGAGCAGTAGCAAAAAAAAAATATATATATATATATATATATATATACAGTACTAGTCAAAAGTTTGGACACACATACGCATTCAAGGGTTTTTCTTAATTTTTACGATTTCCTACATTGTAGAATAATAGTGAATACATCAAAACTATGAAATAACACATGGAATAATGTAGTAATCAAAAAAGTGTTAAACAAATCAAAATATATTTATATTTGAGATTCTTTGAAGTAGCCACCCTTTGCATTGATGACAGCTTTGCACACTCTTGGCATTCTCTCAAGCAGCTTCACCTGGAATGCTTTTCCAACAGCCTTGAAGGAGTTCCCACATATGCTTAGCACTTGTTGGCTGCTTTTCCTTCACTCTGCAGTCCAACTCATCCCAAACCATCTCAATTGGGTTGAGGTCGGGTGATTGTGGAGGCCAGGTCATCTGATGCAGCACTCAATCACTCTCCTTCTTGGTCAAATAGCCCTTACACAGCATGGAGGTGTGTTGGGTCATTGTCCTGTTGAAAAACAAATGATAGCCATGTAGCCTTTACGAAGATTAGAAACAACTAGAAACCTTTGTACTCTCCAAGACGTTTGGAGTGGACAGTTAGTCGTTGATGTAGAGAGAGAAGAACAAAATCAGGGTTGAGGGATAGAAGACCTACAACTGGTGGACAAAAATACAAACAAATGAGGGACAAGATGACTATTGGGCGACTACTCATGTACTTTTGGGTGGGGGCATTATCATATTGTTGTCCTTCATTCACCCAGGTGATTCCGTTTATTGGTCCACCACCTGTACCTTTTTAATAAACAGAGGGAGATTTAAACTGTCTTCAGATAGGCTTTTGGAAGACAAGTCAAACTAATTAACACGATTAGCAGTACAGCAAATGTGAATCAGCTTTCAGATAATTCATTGAATTATGTGTGTGTTATGGTCTTTGTTGCATGGCTTCTTATCAACAGAGGGCCAGTGTGGGTGCAGGTTTGTGTTCTAACCAAGCAATAACACACCTGATTTAACTAATCATGTCTTGATTGAAGTGTATGATTAGTTGAATCAGGTGTGTGCTGGTTGGCAAGAACAAAAGCCTAAGTCCACATTGATCTCTGGATACGATTGAGCCCAGTTTTGTCAAATATATTTGTATGTCTTATTAAAATTATTTGTAAGTAAAGTCATACAACTTCACATGAGAGATTAATCTTTCATTTTATATCCACTTTTCTTATAAAAATTAGGGCAGTACATGTTAGAAATGTCTAATCTTAGATTTTAGTGGGTTTAATAGGTTTACACACCCTAATCGACTGCTTTAACTCCATCAAACTGACTGTACTGTGTAAACAGGGTATGCTTTTAATTTGCTAATCAATGTATTGTCTTTGACCAGAGTTGTCCAGTGCAACTGAAGATTCCAATTCAAAGAAGTTGGAAGTGAATAAGGAGAACAACACTCCTGGCTGCTCCATCACATTTGCTGCACAACGAGATGTGGATGGGACCTCCGTCCATTCTTCCAGCCCTGAGGAGGAAATGGAAGAAGGTGAAATTGTTAGTGAAAGTGAAGAGGAGGAAACTCCAGTCACGCCAAGTTCTCCAGCCAAGACGGTTAGGCCCATAAGAACTGTTAAAAATCAACCAAGTCCCAAGTCATCCACTAGACTTTCAAAGAAGCCGGCCAAAGAAAATAGTTTAGTTTCACAACGGAATTTTAAACTCAGAAGTAAAACCTTGACTTCACCAGTTAGAAGCCCCACATCAAACAAAACCCGCTACAAAACGATTCAACCTCCGTTACCCAACGCCGCCTTGTCTACCGTGGAGGAAGTTATGGACATGCTTGCAAAGATTCGCTATGAGTGCAGAAAAAAGTACATGAAGCTTCATTCAACATTCCCTAAGAAAACCTTCTGCGGTGCTATGGACATGTCCTTTTTTCCCTCTTTTACAGACTTTGTTGATAGTGTAAGCTTTACTAAACTATGCAGCCAAGAAGATGACCTCAAAGTTAAACTGAAGAACATCATAATGTCTGTTTTGAGTAAGTTATTAAATAATGGCATTGTCAACCGCATCTTTGACCAAGAACCACTCAATATGAAGTCCAAACTGTGGGAATTTGTGGATGTGCAGTTAGACTTCTTATTCCAGGAAATTCAGACTGCACTGATAAGTGTTAGCAAATCCTCAAACGGAAGCCAGTCGGCAGGAGCAGAAAAAAGAGACGGGAGTCTCTCTGGAAATGGGGTACCCAAGCTGCCGGTGAAGTCCCCCAAGCTGCCGGTGAAGTCCCCCAAGCTGCCGGTGAAGTCCCCCAAGCTGCCGGTGAAGTCCCCCAAGCTGCCGGTGAAGTCCCCCAAGCTGCCGGTGAAGTCCCCCAAGCTGCCGGTGAAGTCCCCCAAGCTGCCGGTGAAGTCCCCCAAGCCATCTGTGGCCACCAAACTTAAAGGACAGCAGGGAGTGACCAGAACCAGAACTTCTGCACCTAAAAGACTGCAAGAGAAATTAACCGACTGTGTTGAAACCAACATGAAAAGAACCAGGTCTCGGACTGTCCCCCCTTGCAAAACCGGTCTTGGAATAGGCAAACATATTAAAATGTCCTTTGAGGAAGAGGATAAGGAATCGAAGCCTCAAACATCAGATCCTCCTGTTATACAACCTCCTATGCAACCTCCTTCGCAACACGTGGTAGAGATCTTACCATCAAACAGCTCTTCATCTGCTGAGAAAACAGCTACCTATGTTCGCCGGCTGTCTCAAAATGGCTCACTCCATGACAAGCCTGACTTTGAAATCCTCACAGAACAGCAAGCCTCCAGCCTAACGTTCAACCTGGTAACAGACTCCCAGATGGGAGAGATCTTCAAGTGTCTCTTACAAGGGTCTGATCTGCTAGAAACTAGTGTCTCAGCTGGGGACAATCATGGCTGGCCCCTTGGTACTCCACTGAAAGAAAGAGAGCGTTTCCTAGGCGTTACCACCCCAAGCAATGTTTGTACCCCAAGTCAAGTTGGTACTCCCTCTAAACTCATTGCCACGTGGTCACCTATTTCACCTATCAAGTTTTCCTCTCCAAATTCAAAAGTCCAAATTCCACTAAATCCAACTTTGTTGGATGAGCCTTGCATGTTAGAGATGCCCTCCGGCCTACCAGAAAGCATAATGACACCACAGTCCAGTGTGTTCTCGCATAGATCATATTCCATCTTGGCAGAAGATCTGTCTGGGTCTCTCACAATTCCCTCACCTCTCAAATCTGACAATCACCTCAGTTTTTTGCACCCAGCCACCGGGGAGCCCATGTCTGCTCCGGACAGTGTCATCAGTGCACACTTCAGTGAGGATGCTCTTATGGATGGGGAAGACGCTACAGAGCAGGACAGTCACCTTGCCCTGGACACGGACAACTCCAGCTGTGCATCAAGCGGTGGTGGCAGGACCAGGGAGGCTCCTGTTAACCCTTTGTTTCACTTCAAGCCTCACTTGCCCATGCAGGCAGTAGTGATGGAGAAGTCAAATGATAATTTCATTGTGAGGATACGGCATGCATCCACCAACCTAGGCGTCAACTCCACCAACCTAGGCGTCAACTCCACCAACCTAGGCGTCAACTCCACCAACCTAGGCGTCAACTCCACCAACCTAGGCGTCAACTCCACCAACCTAGGCGTCAACTCCACCAACCTAGGCGTCAACTCCACCAACCTAGGAGTCAACTCCACCAACCCAGTGTTCAACTCTTTAAGCCCAGGCAGTATCAACTCTACCTACCCAGGAAATAACTCCAGCAACCCAGTGGTCAACTACACAAGATTAGGAATCAACTCATCAAGCCTAGTAGTCAATTCTTTAAGCCCAGACATCAATTCCACCAACCCAGTGGTCAACTCCACAAACTTAGGAATCAACTCAAGCCAAGGTGTCAACTCCTCAAGCCCAGGCAGTGTCAACTCTACCTACCCAGGAAATAATGCCACCAACCCAGGAAATAACTGCAACTACACATGTGTCAACTCCACAAGCCCAGAAGTCATCTGCACCAACACAGGCGTTAACCCCACAAGTGCATACATCAATCCTAGGGGTGCTGAGATCCCTCAAACACCACCAGGAGAAGAAAAACATGGTAAAGACAAAGATCGGCCCCCAGAAAAAACGCCTTCCAAAGCCCCTTATTCAGAGGCCAGTCCTCCTTTCTACCTTTCCACAAGCACCGAAATAGCATCTGCGCTATCATCGCCATGCCTCACCATCATAGAAGACACACCAGAGAGAGACCACAGCAAGGGTAAGACCGGGAAAAAGCGGACAATGCACCATGTGGAAACTAAAGCAAAGCGGGCTAAAAAGGAGGTAATCCCAGAGAAGAGCATGCATAAAAAGAAGTCGTCAAAAAGTCCCAAAGGAAAGGGGACTGGAAGCTCCAAGAGAGAGAGAAGTAAAGTCACTACTTCACCCCAATCTACCCCATCACCCAACAGCCTGTCTGCCAAGAATATCATCGTAAAAAAGGGTGACGTGGTTGTGACGTGGACAAGGTGAGTTGGTCTTTAAATACATGCCTTTTTGTTATGTGCCATTTGTATTAGCTGTTGGAGGGTCTCCGTGTCAAGTGTCATGATTGCCACTAAAATATTTGTTTTTCTTGAAGGGATGAAGACCGAGATATTCTCCTCGCACTGAAGATGAAAGGTGCCTCTCCAGATACCTTCTCTGCCCTTTCAGAGAAAATGAACAAGACACCCGCTCAGGTATGTCTTTGCTAATTTACGTTTTTCTGAGCTTATTTTTGATAGTAATGACATTCTATGTTTTTGATATAGGATACTAGTAGTTAATGCTGGGCATTGATGTCAGTTCTGGGTAACACTTTACAATAAGGTTCCATTTGTAAAGGGTTTATAAAGGGGTTATAATCACGTTATAAATCATAATTTCTAACATATTACCCTTTAACAGATTATATCAACACACTTACCACTTCTCTGTGATAGTCCAAGTATGGTGAACGCCCTGGTGTGAAATGTGAACCGTAATACCTTTGGTTGGTGAAACAGTGGAGGAGGTATCCTCTCACAACGTTAAATGTTTTGGTCTTCATACCCACCATTCATTGACTGAACATGTTTAACAAAGTGTTGAATCTTCTCATGTATGTAGTGATGAGTACCCAATACTGCCTATAAGTATGTCTAAGCTCTGAGTGAACTCTCAAATCATCTAGAAATGATTATGGCCTAATTAATTTATTTAAATTGACTGATTTCCTTATATGAACTGTAACTCAGCGAAATCTTTGAAATTGTAGCATGTTGCGTTTGATATTTTTGTTCAGTATAGTAAGAACAAAATGCAATTTAATGGAAGGATACATTGGGAAAACAATTTTAATTACAGTGACTGAAATCTGTAGCCTATCATTGGTATAGTGAGTAGCCTAGCTAATTCAGATAAACAGGTCAGAATAGAATTTGACAACAGATGAACTATTTAAAATACAACATAGGGTCTCATGGTCCCCTTCTGTGTCTTCATCTGTTTCTTTCTTGTTAAGCATTTTCCCATCCTGGAGTCTGAGACCTTATGGGAATGTGTTGGAGAGAATAGGAATTTTTACAATTTAGCATAGACACTCTAGCTACACAACTCTACTATCATCATTATCATGATTTATACCATTTGCAATTAAAGCCTTTAAGTCCAGGAAAACTCCAGGGCTGGATGGCATACCAGTTGAGGTATACCAAACCTTTTTTGATGTGCTCAGAGGACCGTTATTAGAATGTTTTAACCACTCCTATAAAAATGGTAGATTATCAGATACTCAACAGGGGCTGATTTCATTATTACTGAAACAGGACCCAAGTGGTAAATATAAAGATCCAGTCAATTAAAAAAGTTGGAGGCCCCTTACACTTCAGCGTTGTGATGCAAAAATTCTAACAAAATGCATAGCACATAGAATTAAAAAGGTATTGTCTGACAGCTTTTTTTTTTTACATGAACGATACATTGGAGATAATATAAGACAAGTACTGGAAACAATAGAACACTATGAAAAATCTGTTAAACCAGGCCTGGTATTCATAGCTAATTTTGATAAGGCTTTTATATATAAATGCCTGGAATATTTCAATTTTGGAGAATCTCTTATACAATGGGATATATACAGTGGGGAAAAAAAGTATTTAGTCAGCCACCAATTGTGCAAGTTCTCCCACTTAAAAAGATGAGAGAGGCCTGTAATTTTCATCATAGGTACACGTCAACTATGACAAGCAAATTGAGAAATAAAAATCCTGAAAATCACATTGTAGGATTTTTAATGAATTTATTTGCAAATTGTGGTGGAAAATAAGTATTTGGTCACCTACAAACAAGCAAGATTTCTGGCTCTCACAGACCTGTAACTTCTTCTTTAAGAGGCTCCTCTGTCCTCCACTCGTTACCTGTATTAATGGCACCTGTTTGAACTTGTTATCAGTATAAAAGACACCTGTCCACAACCTCAAACAGTCACACTCCAAACTCCACAATGGCCAAGACCAAAGAGCTGACAAAGGACACCAGAAACAAAATCGTAGACCTGCACCAGGCTGGGAAGACTGCATCTGCAATAGGTAAGCAGCTTGGTTTGAAGAAATCAACTGTGGAAGCAATTATTAGGAAATGGAAGACATACAAGACCACTGATAATCTCCCTCGATCTGGGGCTCCACGCAAGATCTCACCCCGTGGGGTCAAAATGATCACAAGAATGGTGAGCAAAAATCCCTGAACCACATGGGGGGACCTAGTGAATGACCTGCAGAGAGCTGGGACCAAAGTAACAAAGCCTACCATCAGTAACACACTACGCCGCCAGGGACTCAAATCCTGCAGTGCAGACGTGTCCCCCTGCTTAAGCCAGTACATGTCCAGGCCCGTCTGAAGTTTGCTAGAGTGCATTTGGATGATCCAGAAGAGGATTGGGAGAATGTCATATGTCATATGGTCAGATGAAACCAAAATAGAACTTGTCGTGTTTGGAGGACAAAGAATGCTGAGTTGCGTCCAAAGAACACCATACCTACTGTGAAGCATGGGGGTGGAAACATCATGCTTTGGGGCTGTTTTTCTGCAAAGGGACCAGGACGACTGATCCGTGTAAAGGAAAGAATGAATGGGGCCATGTATCATGTGATTTTGAGTGAAAACCTCCTTCCATCAGCAAGGGCATTGAAGATGAAACGTGGCTGGGTCTTTCAGCATGACAATGATCCCAAACACACCGCCCGGGCAACGAAGGAGTGGCTTTGTAAGAAGCATTTCAAGGTCCTGGAGTGGCCTAGCCAGTCTCCAGATCTCAACACCATAGAAAATCTTTGGAGGGAGTTGAAAGTCCGTGTTGCCCAGCGACAGCCCCAAAACATCACTGCTCTAGAGGAGATCTGCATGGAGGAATGGGCCAAAATACCAGCAACAGTGTGTGAAAACCTTGTGAAGACTTACAGAAAACGTTTGACCTGTGTCATTGCCAACAAAGGGTATATAACAAAGTATTGAGAAACTTTTGTTATTGACCAAATACTTATTTTCCACCATAATTTGCAAATAAATTCATAAAAAATCCTACAATGTGATTTTCTGGATTTTTTTTCCTCATTTTGTCTGTCATAGTTGACGTGTACCTATGATGAAAATTACAGGCCTCTCTCATCTTTTTAAGTGGGAGAACTTGCACAATTGGTGGCTGACTAAATACTTTTTTCCCCCACTGTATATACATACATACATACATACATACATACATACATACATACATACATACATACATACATACATACATACATACATACATACATACATACATACATACAGTGGGGATAACAAGTATTTGATACACTGCCGATTTTGCAGGTTTTCCTACTTACAAAGCATGTAGAGGTCTGTAATTTTTATCATAGGTACACTTCAACTGTGAGAGACGGAATCTAAAACGAAAATCACATTGTATGATTTTTAAGTAATTGCATTTTATTGCATGACAGAAGTATTTGATACATCAGAAAAGCAGAACTTAATATTTGGTACAGAAACCTTTGTTTGCAATTACAGAGATCATACGTTTCCTGTAGGTCTTGACCAGGTTTGCACACACTGCAGCAGGGATTTTGGCCCACTCCTCCATACAGACCTTCTCCAGATCCTTCAGGTTTCGGGGCTGTCGCTGGGCAATACGGACTTTCAGCTCCCTCCAAAGATTTTCTATTGGGTTCAGGTCTGGAGACTGGCTAGGCCACTCCAGGACCTTGAGATGCTTCTTACGGAGCCACTCCTTAGTTGCCCTGGCTGTATGTTTCGGGTCGTTGTCTTGCTGGAAGACCCAGCCACGACCCATCTTTAATGCTCTTACTGAGGGAAGGAGGTTGTTGGCCAAGATCTTGCGATACATGGCCCCATCCATCCTCCCCTCAATACGGTGCAGTCGTCCTGTCCCCTTTGCAGAAAAGCATCCCCAAAGAATGATGTTTCCACCTCCATGCTTCACGGTTGGGATGGTGTTCTTGGGGTTGTACTCATCCTTCTTCTTCCTCCAAACACGGCGAGTGGAGTTTAGACCAAAAAGCTCTATTTTTGTCTCATCAGACCACATGACCTTCTCCCATTCCTCCTCTGGATCATCCAGATGGTCATTGGCAAACTTCAGACGGGCCTGGACATGCGCTGGCTTGAGCAGGGGGACCTTGCGTGCGCTGCAGGATTTTAATCCATGACGGCGTAGTGTGTTACTAATGGTTTTCTTTGAGACTGTGGTCCCAGCTCTCTTCAGGTCATTGACCAGGTCCTGCCGTGTAGTTCTGGGCTGATCCCTCACCTTCCTCATGATCATTGATGCCCCACGAGGTGAGATCTTGCATGGAGCCCCAGACCGAGGGTGATTGACCGTCATCTTGATCTTCTTCCATTTTCTAATAATTGCGCCAACAGTTGTTGCCTTCTCACCAAGCTGCTTGCCTATTGTCCTGTAGCCCATCCCAGCCTTATGCAGGTCTACAATTTTATCTCTGATGTCCTTACACAGCTCTCTGGTCTTGGCCATTGTGGAGAGGTTGGAGTCTGTTTGATTGAGTGTGTGGACAGGTGTCTTTTATACAGGTAACGAGTTCAAACAGGTGCAGTTAATACAGGTAATGAGTGGAGAACAGGAGGGCTTCTTAATGAAAAACTAACAGGTCTGTGAGAGCCGGAATTCTTACTGGTTGGTAGGTGATCAAATACTTATGTCATGCAATAAAATGCAAATTAATTACTTAAAAATCATACAATGTGATTTTCTGGATTTTTGTTTTAGATTCCGCCTCTCACAGTTGAAGTGTACCTATGATAAAAAATTACAGACCTCTACATGCTTTGTAAGTAGGAAAACCTACAAAATCGGCAGTGTATCAAATACTTGTTCTCCCCACTGTATATATTATATATGGGGGATACAACCATCCCAGCTCTGCAGATTTTGCTGCGAAGAGACAGAATCATTAGAGTATTTGATTTGGTACTGTCCAGATGTAGCTTGTTTTTGGTCGCAGGTTCCGGAACTGCTGAAGAATTGTAACATTTACCTGGAGCTAACTCTGCAAATTGCACTGCTGGGTGGTTTAAAAAAAAAAGTAATAGTCAATCGATAGAATAATACTCTCAGCTGTTTGAAGTTGGTGTACAAAACCGAAAGTAAAGGACGCAAAAATAAAATGTAAGAACAGGAAGCATA